TCACCAGTGCAGGGTGTGTGTGTGTGTGTGTGTGTGTGTGTGGTGTGTGTGCTGAGGCCAGCACTGGTGGTCAGCACCAGAGGCCAGTGCTGCTGATGAGATGGTCGTTAAGATTCCAGGTCAGCTGAGCTGGCCGAGACCCACCCAGCCCTCGAGAGGCAGATCAAGCCCCAGGGCGGCTGGACAGGCAGGGCCCTCCGTGGGTGGAAAGGTGCTGACCAGATGGGAGACAGTGGAGGCTGGGGCTGCTAGGCTTCCATCCTGGCTCTGCCACTGTCACCTGTGTGACCTTGGGAAAGTCACGGTGCCTCCTGAGCTGCAGTTTCCACATCTGTAAGATGGTGGTGCACGCTTGTCATCCCAGCACTCGGGAGGCTGAGGCAGGAGGGTCATCGTGAGTTTGAGGCCAGCCTGAACTACTTAGAGAGACCCTGTCTCAAAAGACAAACAAAAAATACAGGGATAGTAGCCTGCTTTTTCTCCCCTTGGCACTGAGCAGGGCCTCCCAAGAGAAGGGAAAGTCAGGGCCTTTTAGAAAAGTTGCTGTGGCCCAGTGGAGGGGGGCTGCTGGGGCCGGGAATCTCTGGGTGGGCTCCGGACAGGCTCTAGGCTCAAAACACCCTTCTTTCCCATTCTGGGCTCTATGCCTTTGAGGAAGGGAGTGGGTCTCCCGGAACCTCAGCTTGCTTCTCTGTGGAATGGGGGTAAGGATACCCGGTAGGGTTCCTCAGCCTGCTGAGCACACGGTAGGTTCAGTGGGTGGACACCTGGGGCGCCCTGGGAACTCGGACTGGCGGGCGAGGGAGTCCCTCGGGGTCACCCCAAAGAGCGCAGCCCTTGGAGATGGGGTTCCAGCTGCATTAAGATCCATGGAGCCTGGGTTAAGATTGCGGAAACGCCTGGCTCTTGGCTCAGAAACCAACCCCTGGGCGAACGTGCGTGTGCGTGCGCGCATGCGTGTGTCGCCCTGGCCCGGTGTCCTGGGAAGTGGCCTCTTCAGAGCCGGACGGCGCCTCCCGCCCTCATGCAGCGGTGACATGGGGACAGAGCCGGGGCGGGCAGTGGTGCCCGAAGCCAGGAACTCTCTCAGCCCTGCTCTCGGATTCACAGGCTGCCCGCGGCTACTAAGAGGACTCTGTATGGTTTTTATTTTTTCTCCCTGATGCTGGAGATAGAACCCGGGGCCTCACACATGCAGGGCAAGTGGTCTACCACTGAACTACATCCCTAGCCCAGTGTATTTGTTTTGTTTTGTTTTGTATTTTTAGTACCAGGGATTGAACTCGGGGCCTTGCGCTTTCGAGGCAGGCGGTGAAACCAATGAGCTAAATCCCCTGGCCAGTGCGTTTTTGACTGAGTGAAATGACCTGTCATGAGCTGTGGTTGTTTTGTTTTGAGACAGGGTCTCACTATGTAGCCCAGACTCTCCTCGAACTTGGGTGATCCTCCTGCCTCGGCCTCCTGGGTGCTGGGATCACAGGCATGCACACCACACCTGGCTTCTTCTGAGCCTTAGATTATGCACCTGTAAAGCGGGCGTTTTTATTTACTCCTTTGTGGGGCCATTTGAGGAGTCCTGGTGTGTGTGTTTCGGCAGAGGACCGGTGAGCATTCGTCCTGATTCTGGAGATTTGCTGGCAAAGGAGCACAGGGCCCAGCCCAAATCAGGGGGACCTGGCTTCCTGGGTGTCCCTTACGGCATGCACGCACACACGCACACAGGCACACACCTACAGACAGCCCTGACTTCCTACCCGCTCCTTTGTGGCGGGTTTTCTTTGTTGAAGATTGTCATTATCTTGTGATTCTTGTCTTGGTTCTTTAGGAGGAAAAAAAAACTTCTATTGGATTCTTTTCAAGGTATAAAACTAATAAATATCTCAGAGCGCCTCTCACACGGGGGTTGCAGGCTTCGCACCATTGTGGTTATGGGAGCATCTGTGGGGGCCCCAGGCTGAGCCCAGCACAGCTGTCCACGTCCTGTAGAGCATGAACAGGGTCTGCGATGCCCATTTCACAGGCTGGCACTTTTAGGGCTGCCTCCTGGAGAAAGTGGGAGCCCCCAGCCGTTCCTCACTCACAGGCTGGCAGCGGGCACTAGTAGTCCCCCCGCCCCCGGTTGCTTCCCTCCAGCAGCGCCTGGGCTGCGTCAGTGCGGGGGACAGCATGTGGCAGGTGGGCAGGTGGGCGAGGCTGGCACAAACCCCCACACTTCCCCACCGCTAGCCCCGGGCCCTGAGGCCACCCCTGCCTCTGCAATGGGACCACAGTCCCTTTCCTTGCCACCCTTGGGGGCTGCTCTGGGGGGCCCAGGGGCCAGGACAGGTCAGCTGGCTGTGGCTTGAGCCCTGATTGCTTGGATCTGGCTGTGACCAGGTGAGCCCCTCACCCTCCCTGGTTCAGAGTCCCCCTCAAGGGGTGAGCCTGGGTCTCACAACCCCTGTCTGATGTCTTCCCAACCAGGAAGGAAACAGGAAGAGCTGGTGTGGGCAAGTGGGCGGGGGGAGATGGGCGGCCCAGGCTCCCGGGCCACCCACAGACACCTGAGATCCTGCTGTAGCTGCTACAGGGTGGCCAGAAGGGAAGGAATGGGGTGCTAAGCACTGTTTACAGCTGGGGACTGTGAGGGACCTCAAGGCAAGGCGAGGGGCCTGTGCCCCAGCATGCAGATCCGTATCTCATACTTGGCCAAGATGCTGCCCCAGGCTGGACCTGCTCTGGCCCCCATGGTGCCTGAGTCCCCATCCCTTGTGTTTCTGGGGCATCCGCGGCTGTGGCAGTTCTGTCCCCTCCGCAGTGCAGCCTGGGGTCCTTATAAATGCCTGGCTTGGGCTCTGCATCTGGGCTACAGCAGTAGGACAGCTGAGGGCTGCTGTGCTGAGCAGACCGGGATTGGAGACCTCGCTGGGGTGGCAGCTCCCCTGGGGCCCGACCTGAGGGTCGGAGCACAGCTTCCAGACCTTCCAGGAACAGTGGCCTCCTCAGGGCTGCCTGGGACCCTCCAGATCCACAGCCCCAAGCCCACCCATCCTGCTGGCCATCTTGCAGACGTGGTCTCCGCTGGCTGCTACGGGTCAGGGCTGAACCTGGGCCATAAGAACACCAGGTCCACGGCCTCTCCTCTCTAACAAAGGGCAACTGTGGCTCCGAGTCCTCAGGGTCTCAGGAAGATCCTTTGGGGTCAAGCTGTAAAACTTGCCCAATCTGGAAGCTGGGGGTGAGGGCGCATGACCATAAACCTAGTTTCTCAGGAGGCTGAGGCAGGAGGATTGCAAGTTTAAGTCCAGGCTGGGTAATTTAGCAAGATGCAAAGTGAAAAATAAAAAAAGGGTAGCTCAGTGTGAAGGCCCTGGGTTCAATCCCCAGTGCCGCAGGAAAAACAACAAAAGGTGAGGATAGTGAGGATGTGATTGTCTGTGTCCCTGTTGGCCATGACCCTATTTTGTCAGTTGCCCAGAATCCTGTCCCTGTCTCCCCTCCCCCTCTCCCTGGCTTCATCGTCTTTCAAAACAATTCCCAAGGTCTCCGGCTGTTTAGGGTTTTTAAAAACAGGGCTTCAAAGCAAATTCCCCATTTGTTCTCCCCTCCTCTCCCCAAATCGGAATCTGGACAGCGTGACCTCATTCCAGAAAAGGGCTGAGCCCCTCCCGGGCATCACCCAGACACCACCGCAAGGCCCAGGACTCTGGGTGTGGCATGTGGCTCGAGCCCTCAGTCCCCTGGCTGGCCCCTGGACTGCATCCCAGCTGCGTACCTGCTATCTGCGTGGCCTTGGGCTAGTGGAGTCATCACTCCAGGCCTCAGTTTCTTCGTCAGTAAAGAGGGCCTGCTCTGCCATGTGTCCTGTGGGCTCCCCCACTCTGTCCCGAAACCACTGCAGCAGAAGAGAGAAGCAAACAGCCAGTGAAAGCAAAGGATGCTTAACTTGGTGATTTTTTTCCAGTACTGGGGACCTTTGAACCTAGGACCTTTGAGCTGAGCTACATTTCCCAGCCCTTTTTGTTTTCTCTTTCTGGACAGGGTCTCGATAAATTGCCAAGTTACCCAGGCTGGACTTGAACTTGCAGTCCGGCTGCCTCAGCCTCCCAGAGTGCTTGGATTATAGGTGTGTGCCACCATACCCGGCTAGGAATTAATTTTTGAATATTTATTTTTTTATTTTGTTTTCTTTTTTCAGTGCTGGGGATTGAAGGAGGGGTTCACTGTTTATTTTTTTATTATGAAAGAAATGATGCTTGTAAAGTAACTCAGTGCTATAAAAGTGAATAAAGCAGAACATGAAGTTCATTCTGGATCCTCCACCCCCTCACTGGTAGCCTGACCCTTCTCAGCCTGGCCTGCTCCCTTCCTGTCTTTTTTTCCAAGTATGTGAGCAGAAGTGGTTCATATGTGTGCAGTTGTGACTGGTCTTTTTAAATGAAATGCTATACAATACGTGATTCTGTAACTGGCCTGGGCCACCTCCCCCTTGTTTGTGTATTTCCATAGAGATTTTGTGTTTTTGTCTTTATTTTGAGTTAGGGTCTCGCTGTGTAGTCCAGGCTGGCCTTGAACTCACTGTGTAGCCCAGCTGGCCTCAAACTCATGCAATTCTCCTGCTTCAGACTCCTGAGTGCCTCTTGGCCAAGACATGCAGTCTTGCTTGGCCTTTGTTCGGCCACTGGCGAGGCTGAGGGTCTCTCATGGAGCTGTCAGGTTTGAGTGTCCTCTGTGTGTGGCTGCTGCCCACCTTCCTGTCTGCAGGGTCACCTCTCTCCACGTGTTGGACTGGGCAGGTGCTGCAGACTGGCCGGAAGTGCGTCTCAGGGCAGGTGTGGCTTGGCAGTCAGCCTGCCGCCACCCTGGGTTCCATCCCCAGCGCCAGGCAAGGGTAAACCCCACAGCGAAGGTGAGCTGGGCAGGCGCTGGTGCACACGATGCTGAGGTGGGAATCTGGGGCTTGAGTGCTTGGCCCGAGGTTTCCATGACGACCTAACCTCCTCCTGCTGCTTCCCTTCCAGAGAAAACCGAGAAGATCCTGAGGGAGTTCCTCCAATTCTACAAGGACCAGTATGGCGTTGCGCTCTTCAACAGCATGCGCCATGAGATTGAGGGCACTGGGCTGCCGCAGGCACAGCTGCTCTGGCGCAAGGTGAGGGACATCGGAGGGCTCCGGCTGGGCTCTACCGCTGCCTGGACTTGGAGTTTAACCGCTGTGGCCCTGATATCTCTAAGGGTGGATGTGAGAGCTAGAGCCGTGGAGTCCTGATAGCCCTGGGTTTGAGGTCAGCTCTTCCTTGAGGAGCCTGGGTTTACTTGTCTGTCAGATGGGCTGAGAACAGCTCCTTCACAGGGCGAAACTGCCTGGAGCAGGGAAGGTGCTGACCCTACCACCATCAGCCTTGTCATGATCTCATCATTAGCATCGGGTTTGTTTGGCCAGGAAATATTTACTGAGTAAGGGGTGGGAAGGGCCTGCTCCAGGCTGGGCTCAGCGTGGGCTGGATGAGGCGTGCAAAGCCTTCTGGGAAAGGCCCCTGTGATTGGCCTGGGGGGAGTGAAGAGGAGGAGCAGAAGTGGAGAGGGGCCAGCCCTCTCCCCTGGACACAGTGCAGGCCCCCTGGCAGCCCAGGAAGTCCTGTTTGAGGGCATCATGTGCCCCAGAATGACTGGGGATCACTCTAGCTGACTCTGATTGCTGAGCCATGGCCCAGTAACTATGTATTCCTGGCTGGTGGCTGTTGTCCGAAAACTTGGCTTCCCTCTGGGGCATCTGGTTAAGCTGATTTCCTGCCTTGGAAGTAGGGTGCCAGCCAGGTCACCTGGGCCACCAGTGTTGGTGGTGCTGGGTCATTAGCGGCTGAACTTCTTTTTGTTGTTGTTTTGGGTTTTTTTGAGACAGGGTCTCATTATGTAGTTTAGACTGGCCCTGGACTCACCACCTCCTGCCTCAGCCTCCCAAGTGCTAGGATTACAGGCGTGCTCCACCACACCAGGCTGGTTGTTCTTTTTTTTTTTATTTTTATTTTTTTTTGGTACCAGGGATCAAACTCGGGTCCCTGTGCTTGCACAGCAGGCGGCGAAACCACTGAGGTAAATCCCCGGCCCTGGTTGTTCTTTCTTTCTAGAAAAAACAGAGGTTGGGGGGCTGGGCATCGGTGGTGTAAATATAGAATGCAGAGCCAGAGCCATGGCCTTGTGACTTGGGCAAAGCCCACTGTGGCCACTGTGTGGGGAGAGCCTTTGTGATCCCATAAATATTTTCATCCTGGTAGGAAGCTGCTTGGGGCTATTGTTCAAGCACAATGAGGTCTCCTTTCCAGGAGTGTTTCCGTTTTCCCTGAGGAGCAGCAGTGGGAAGCTGGGGAGAGGGGAGTCTGAAGGCCACCGAGGGGCAGGAGAGGTGGCAGGGTCAGGACTTGGGGCTCCAGCTGCTCTGGCTCCTGACCACAGACCCAGGAGGGAGCAAGGGAGCAAGGAAGCCAAGAAGGTGTGGACACAGTAAAATAATAGGGGCCAGGGATTTAGCCCAGTGGTTTCCGGCGCAAGCACAAGGTCCTGAGTTCGATCCCAGGTACCCCCCCCCCCAAATAATAATAATTTTTCCCTTCATTGAGAACCGTAAAAGTTTCTTTGGCCAGGTATGGTGGCACACGCCTCTAATACCAGCACCCAGGGGGCTGAGGCAGGAGGATCCCCTCAAGTTCAAGGCCAATCTGGTCAACATAGTGAGTTCAAGGCCAGCCTGAACTACATGACAAGACCTTGTCCCAACGCTCCCCTCCCCCTAGTTTGTTTTTGTGTGGTGGTGGGGAGTGGAGTTAAGAAGGTGGCACATGCTTATAATCCCAGTGTCTTAGTTACTTTCTCGTTGCTGAGACAAAATACCTGACACTCAAAATTCAAGGAGGAAAGGTGTATTTAACTCAGTTTGTAGGGGTTTCAGTTCCTATTTGACTGGCTCCAAGGCAGGGTGGCATGGCAGAGGGGCATCGCAGAGGAGAAACAGTTCATGGTAGGCAGATGGCAGAAGGCAGCAAGCTACAAGTGGCAAGCGACCAGCAACTAGTAACAGCAGCAGCAGCAAGGGAAAAGGGTCAGATTCTTTCTGTGCCTTATACTCCATCCAGGCTACCCGGCCTTAAGGCAGGTAGCACTCACATTCAGGATGGGACACCCTTTTTTTTTCGCTGCAGCCGATTGAACTCGGGTCCTTGCGCTTGTGCAGCAGGCGGCGAAACCACTGAGCTAAATCCCTGGCCCATGGATGGGACACCCTTAATCCTACGCGACTGTGCCAAAGCAAAATCCGTGGACTAATTTAGTAACCCCACACCCTTGATCCCAGCATTATTCATTCTAGATCCTGCCACCTCTGAGAAGCACCTCCCATGACCGCATGAGGCTTCAAGGGGACATCTAGACACGAGCCATAACAGCCAGTATTCTGGGTTGCTGAGGCGAGAGGATGGCAAGTTCAAGGCCAGCCTAGGGAATTTGGTGACTTAGCAAAATCCTATCTCAGAAATAAAAAATAAAGGGCTGAGATGCAGCTCAATGTGAAGGCCCTGGGTTTAATCCTCGCATCTCAAAAGAAAGTTTTGCTTTGTAAATGGCACTGAATTTATCCCAGAACAGACAGCTTGCCAAGGAGCAGAGAACAGAAGCCTTCCCGTAGTGTGTGTGTCCTTGTCCACGCAGCTCATGTCCCATCACGGCTTCTGTAGCTCCCCGTAAAGTCAGTTTGGCCCCAGCCCCATATCAGTCCCAAGCTGAGTGACTCATGGACTCGGCCTCATCCAGACCCTAGTCACAGTGGTTTTCAGGTGCTGTGCTGCCTGCCAGGTGCCAGGTGCTTCCACTTCCATTTTACAGATGAGGAAACTGAGGCTCTAAGAAGTGGTGAGGGGGCCCCCAAGGTCACCCCGTGAGCCAAGGTGAGCCAGGGCTTTGTGAGGGACGTCTGAGCCCCTCAGGTCACTGGCTGCAGGGACACAGGTCAAACATCAGACATACCCGACCAAGGCCCCCTCTTTCACCAGCCACATTCAGGGAGGCCTGTGGACAGCTGTGAGGGCTGGAGAGGCCCTGGGGAGACACCTTGTTCAACTTTGCCTTGTTCTGAGGGGAAACAGAGGCCCAGAGCTGGCCTATGGGTGTGTCCCCTTCGGCTAGGGTGACTGCTTTGCTTCAAAGTGGCAGAGGTGGGCAGCCGTGTCCTCCCTGGGCCAGGCTGAGTCAGAGGCTGGGGTGAGGCCTGGGTGAGACCTGGGAAGGAGCCACAAGCTCTGCTGGCCACCGTGGCCTGAGGGGACCCCCTCCCTTCCACCCACAGGTGCCGCTGGACGAGCGCATCATCTTCTCGGGGAACCTCTTCCAGTATCAGGAAGACAATAAGAAGTGGAGGAATCGCTTCAGCCTGGTGCCACACAACTACGGGCTGGTGCTGTATGAGAACAAAGTGGTGAGGCCCCTGCCCTGCCCTGGGCGTCCCAACTTGCTAAGGTCTGGCTCTTGGCTAGCCTGGTACCCCCATTTCCCACACCCTCCTGCACCCTGGCAGGCCGCCCTCCTCTGGTCTAGTTCTGCAGCGGGAGCAGCTATCTTCTGGCCAGTCCCTGCCCCAGGCTTGTCGTGTATTCTCCTCTCCCTGTGGGCTGTGCCTTGTCTTTGCTTTGGGCTCTTTCAGAAACCCTCCCTGGTTAAGGCACAGGCTTGATTTCATCTACTAGACATTTCTCCTGAGCAGCCCGAGGTACTTCCTTGTTCAGGACAGGTGAATTCTCAAGGAGTCAGGTCAACCTCAGGCCCCCAGGGTAGTGGTTTTCAAATGATAGCATTGGAGGGCCTGGAAAAAAGGTTGCTGGGCCAGGTAGGGTAAGGAATTTACATTTCTGGGCCCAGGATTTAGCTAAGTGGTACTGAGCCTGCCTCACAAGTGCAAGGTCCTGAGTTCGATCCCTGGTACCCCCGCAAAAAAATTCAAGTCCAGCCTGGGCTACATATTGAGTTCAAGGCCAGTCTGAACTACAAAGTGAGACCCTGAGTTAAACCTCTCCACATATTTAAAAAAAAAGGAATTTGCATTTCTGGTGGGCATGGTGGCACGTGCCTCTAATTTCTGCACTCCAGGAGGCTGAGGCAACAGGATCATAAATTCAAGCCCAGCCTGGACAACGTAGCAAGAGCCTGTATCAAAATAAAAACTGGAGATGTAGCTCAGTGTGAAGGTCCTGGGTTCAGTCCACTGTACCAGATTCTAGAGCAAAGTTGGGAAAGACCACACTATATCACACTGCCCATCACTGTCCAATACTGACACCTAGTGGTCAGGAACAGCATGGCACCCCTGCTGTAGGAGCCATTACACCAGAATTACTTTTCCTCCTATTCCTGTAGGAGAGCTGTATCCTGACCTAATTCTCATCCAAAGGAGATTGTGGGCTGCTTAGGACCCAGGGATCTGGGAAAGGAGTTCTATGTAATAAAGACCCTAGTTCTGGAGGCAGATAGCAGCCTACATCTGCTTCTTCCCAGTTGTGTGCATGTGTGGCTGATCCACCTCTTGGATCATGAGGGTTCTGTGAAATGAAGCGTGTGCTCCAGCACAGTGCCCAGTATGTACCTAGCACTCAACTAGTAGAGTTGCGGGATGGGAGGCAGTGTGGTGGTAGTGACGGTGACAAATGCCTCAACAGAACTCACTGAGCCTCTGTTCTGGGCCAGACTCTACGCTGTGGGCCATGCCAAGGTCACTCTTCCAGTCTCTCTGCTCACCATGACAGACTCTTCCTATCTTCTTTTTCCCTTCTTTTCTTCTTCCTTCCCCTCCTCCTTCCTGCCTTGGGCCCTGGAGCCAGAGTTGGAGCTGGGATTTGGGCTTGGCCACATTCTTGACTCTCAGGACCTTCTCTCCTGACCTCCTTAGGCCTATGAGCGGCAGGTCCCACCCCGTGCCATCATCAACAGTGCAGGCTACAAAGTTCTCACCTCCCTGGACCAGTACCTGGAGCTGGTTGGCAACTCTTTACCAGGTAAAGGGCCACCCGCCCCAGCCTGGTGCCCTGCACAGGCCTTGGGAGGTGGCCAGGGGTTGGGGTGGCTCCAAGCCCATTGCTCCAGGTCCCACACTAGCAGAACCTAACCCCTCAAAGGAGAGGGAGGTGTCTTGGGCCTGAGAGGTGACTTTGCCCAAGTTCACACTGGGCTGGGCCTGGCTCAGTCTGAGCCCTCATCCAGGTCCAGCCGGTGCCTGAGGCTTATGTTCTACTGTTGTGGAATGGGGGGGGGGTCCCGCTGTCTCTCTTTCTTACCTCCCTGAGTTCTTGAGAGCTGCCCCACAGAAGAAATCCAGTTGGTGACCCCGCCGAGATAATCGGTAAACCGAGTGTTGATGCCAAGTTTGCTAGGAGTTGCTACTCCAGGTGCCCTGTTTCTCCACACCCTACTGAGGCACCCCAGGGGTCAAGCCAGCCTGGGGTGGGGACAGTCAGGACTCTTGGTGCCCAGGGTGAAGTGGGCCTCCCTGCCTGGCTGCTGCCTGCCTCTCACTTCTGAGAGCAAGTGGCCTACGGAGTGGAAAGGGTGTGCCCGAGCCGGGTCTCTTTAAAGCCTGGAGTCCCCAACCCAGGTCTGATGCTGGCCCTGTCTCTGCCGGGCTGTGCAGCCCACCCCTCATCTTCCTAAGCATCTGCAAAGTACAGGCTGAAAAGAGAGACTGAGGGGTGTGGTGCAGACCCAAGAAGTGCTGGGTGCCCTGAGCCCAGCCTGGGGTGACCCAGGCCAGGCAGAGAGAACTGTTATTGTCCCATCATTAACCACAGGGGCAGGGCACAGCCCAGGACAGGTATCTCACTGGATCTCAAATATCTGTGAGGACCAAATAGAAAGAGAAATTCCTTTTTGGGGGGTACTTGGGATCGAACTCGGGACCTTGCGCTTGTGAGGCAGGGAAGGAACCACTGAGCTAAATCCCCAGCACTGAGAAATTCCTTTTTATTTGTTTTGTTTCCCCGCCCCACATGCCTCCCTTCTTACTTGGACATTTAAACCAGGCTCTGGCCTCTGCAGCCGAAATTTGAAGGGAAACTCAAGCTGGCAGTGCTTGGCCTTTGAACCTGAGGGCTCTCACTTGTCAGTTGTGGCCAACACACGAGTTTAGATTATGCATGAGGGAGGTAGGTGTGACCTCCGGCAGCTCTAGGGAAGGGGTCAGCGCCAATCCCAGATTCTGAGGTTCCTTTAGCCGGGCTGTGGTGGACAGAAAGAAGGCAGCTGCATGCTGGGTGTGGTGGTACATGCGTATAATCCCAGTACTCAGGAGGCTGAGGCAGGAGGATCCTGAGTTCAAGGCCACCTTGTGCTACAAGTGAGACCCAGTCTCAAAAAAGAGAGGAAAAAAAAAGGCTGCCATGTCCCCAGTGACCCTGGCCACCCCAGGACAGGTCAGCCTTCCCTGTTATCCTCTGACCAGAGAGAGATACCACAGAGGGTAGCTGCTCAAGGCACTCTCTCCACAGGGACCACGTCAAAGTCGGGTGGCACCCCCATCTTCAAGTGCCCCACACAATTCCCACTCATCCTCTGGCATCCTTTTGCGAGACACTACTACTTCTGCATGATGACGGAAGCTGAGCAAGACAAGTGGCAGGCGGTGCTGCAGGACTGTGTCAGGCATTGCAACAATGGTGAGCTGCCTGGAGAGGGAGGAGTTAGCAGTGTACTATATAGTGACACCTAGTGGCTGAGTGCTGTGTGTCAACCCTGCTCTATGAGCTATTCCCTTCTCCCTTCTGGGGTCGTAAGAAACTGGCCTGATGATCAGCCTTAATCTTTTTCCTTGATGAAAATACTTGTGTTGCCCAGGAGAAATTAGGAAATTGTTTCCAGAAGGGTGTGATTGTTGATTCTTGGGGCCCTGACACAAAATCCCAATCCCAATCCTGCTACTTTCTTGCAATGTGACTTTAAATTGACTTCCCGGTTAGAGGCTCTGTAATTGGGGATGATAGTCCTTGTATGTCGTAGAGGTTTGTGGGGACTCACAGGGAGAGTCCACTCTCTGCTGGGTAAAGATTTTTTCTTATTACATCATTTCCTTCTTTACCACCAATGTGCCCAGTGGCCTGGAAATGTCTGTAACTCCTGTGATATATCTCCTAGCTCAGTCATTTAGCCAGCAAACATGGTTAGGTCTCATCTGAGGGTGCAGCAAGGAAGCTGGACATGTCTCCTGCCCTCTTGCAGGGGGAACAGGTCTGGAGGGGACATTGTGAAACAGATGAGTCACAGATTCATTGGGTGCTAGTTGGGGGCCTCCCTGAGAGTCCTGTGCCTGGGGAGATGCTGGCTCTGGACCTGGGAGGGTTCCCTCGGGATGGTTGGAGCAGGTCCCTGAGACTTGCAGGGTGAATAGTCACATGAGTGATCAAAATGCAGTGAAGTTTAAATTTTTAAAATTTATTACAGGAAAAGACAGATTGCCATGAATCCCCCCGGCTTTGAACACACTTATCCCATTGTTTTTGCCACTTTCTGAAGGATTTCTGGAAATCCTTCTTTGTCAGTGTCTTTATGAAGTGTGATTAAAAACAACCGATGAATGGTGCTTCTGGGTGCCACCCAATGGGAAGGCAGGTTGTTAAGAACATTATAGTGCGTCCCCACCCACCTTATTCACCAGATCTGGCCTTGTGTGACTTCTGGCTCCTCCCCAAAGTCAAAATGACCATGAAAGGTAAATGTTTTGAATCAATTCAGGACATCAGACTGGATGTGGTGGTGCCTGTGATCCTAGCACTTAGGAGGCTGAGGCAGGAGGATCCCTGTGAGTTTGAGGCCAGCCTGGGCTACATAGTGAGACTCTGTCTAAAAAAAAAAAGAAAAAGAAATAAAAGAAAGGAAAAAAAGACATCGAGGCAGGCAGGATAGCCATAAAGGACAACTAAAGCCTTTAGGACAACTGAAGACAAGAAAGAAGACTTCCCGAACTGTTTCAGAAAGTGGCAAGAACAGTGGGATAAGTGTGTTTGAGGTGCGGGGGAGCATTTTGAGAGGGTTTGTGGCAATATGTCTTTTATTGTAATAAAATTTTTAAAATTTACACATGCGCCATATTTTTCAATCATAGCTCAGAAGCTGGGGAAAGAGTGGAGAAGAGGACCTGCCCAGGCTCTACACTGGGGTGCGGGTGGCCTCGTGGGGCTGCTGGGTGGGCAGTGGGGTCCTTCTGCCTTGAACTTTTTCCTGGGCTCGGCTTGGCCTCAGGAAGGCAGAGGGTGACCCCTGCGCCTGCCCTCGCCTCAGCCTCCAGACACAGCTCTACCACATGGTGAGGGGTGGCGTGGGCACCTGGGTAGAAGTCAGCTCACCCCACCTCTCCAGAACAGCCTCTGTCCATCTGGAATCTGCCAGGCGGGAGGAACCAGGTCTTCACTTGGGCCAACCTCTGTCACCTGGGCTGGGCCCTGCCTTGCCGCCCACAAAGGGCCTCCTGTCCCCAGGTCCCTGGGGCTGGGGCTCTGGTTTTGCTGCCTGGCCTGGGGCGCCCTCCCTCCCCTGCCTGGGCCGGGTTTCCAGGGCAGCAGCTGACCTGGCCCGGTGGATTGGGGGACCCCAGGCCTGGTGGGTACAGGACCAGGTGGTGCCGGCTCTGGGAGGCTTTGGGGGCCCTGGAGTCTGGGGTGCCTCAGGCAGGAGAGGAGCCTGGAGATTGCTGCTAGGTGGGGAGGGGAGGGGCGTGCTGTGACACCAGAGGGTGTCCTGGCTGGGACAGCCGGCACCCGCAGGAGTTGACAAGCGGAGTTGACAAGCTTGTCAGGCTCTGCCTGCCCTCCACCCGGGACTGTGAGAACCTGGGCCTGGAATGTGTGGAGCTGGGATTGCTCACTCCTGGGGCTGCCAGGAAGTGGGGGTGGGCGGGGAAGGACTGAGCTGGGTGGCCGCCAGCTCCGCCCAGGGCCCTGCATCCTGCATTCCTGGGGCTGCAGGGGGCGGTGAGCCGGCTGGGGCACCAGCTGGGCCCCTCCCGGGCTGAGCGTGGGGCAGAGGGGTCAGGGCCTCTTCCTGCTGCCCAAAGCCCCTCCTGCCTGCTGCCGGGACTGAGGAATGAGCTTCCTTTCTCAGAAGGTCACAGACTCGCCTGGTCTTGGGCTCTGCCATTCCCCAGCTGAGTGTGGGAGCCGGTAACCCTCCCTCTCCCAAGCCTCCCTTTCTGGTTTCTTCATCCTGGCTGAGCTGATGTGTGAAGTCTCAGCCCAGGGGCTGGTGTCTCACAGTCCAGTCTGGATGGCTCATGGGACGGAAACTGAACTTTCTTCCAGGTCTGGAGGCTAGAAGTTCTGCTCAAATTACTGACAGGGTCATCTCTTTGTGCGCACCTGGGGTTTTGTTTGTTTTATGATTGATTGGTATTGGATCTCACTCTGTTGCCCAGGCTGACCCCAAACTTCTGGGCTCCAGTGATCCTCCTGCCTCAACCTCTCCAGTAGCTGGGACTACGTGTACCACTGGGCCCAGCTACCTGTTTTCTTTTTCAAGAAATTTCCCCTTCTAGTTGTGCCTACTGTGCAACATACCTGTAACCCCAGCCACTCAGGAGGCTGAGGCAGGAGGATCACAAGTTTAAGGTCAGTCTGGGCAACATGGCAAGACCCTGTCTCAAAAGCAAATTTGAAAAAGGGCCAGGGATGTAGCTCAGCAGTTGTAGACAGCCCCTAGTTTCAATCCCCAGTACGGGGTGGGGGAGTGATTTCCCCTTCTGATAAAGACCCCAGTCATACTGGGTTTATCTCTGGACCCTGTGTCTGTCTGAATGCGGTTCCATTGTGAACTAAATATTAGGGCTAGTGGTGCGTGCCTGTAATCTCAGCAGGCTGAGGCAGGAGGATCACTGGGAGTTTGAGGCCACCCTAAACTATAATGAGATCCTGTCTCAAAAAAACCAATGAAGGAAGGAAGGAAGGAAGAGGAAAGAGAGAGAAAGAAAGAAGTGTGTGGGGGGTGCCTGTGAGCCGGGAACAGCCGGCAGATGGAAGTCCCCAGACGGGGGGGACCCTCAAACCCGGCACACTCAGTGGTGGATGTGCAGGCTAGAGAAGGTTCCCAGGGTCTGAGCCACCCTTCCCTGTGCGGGCTCTGCCCCAGTGGTCCCTGGCTGGGACAGCCCTGCTCTGATCCTGTCACCTGCCTGCCCGACCTTGTTCCCTGACATCCAGGGCCAGACATCCCTCATGCTTCGGCCCTGAGATGGCACTGGGCCTCAGTTTCCCCATCTTGGCCCTCCCCTCCTGAGAGGGGCTTTTTCCCTGCAGTGACTCAGCCCCGAGTCACGGCAGTGGGCACCAGGGTTTGTGAGCTGCTGCTGCCGTTTCCCCTCCCCTGAGCTCAGGGGACACCGTGGTCAGGCACGTGGCTGGGGAGCTGCCTTCCCCCGGGGTTTTGCAACTTCCTGCCACGGCCTCCCTGGCTCCGGGCCTGGGGTCCATGCCTCATTCATGACTCCTCTAACACACACCACCGACACCACCAGTGACAACAGAAATGGCATTTTCTAGCCATTATCAGTAAAAAGCACTTCCTTTTTTAATCTGTGTGCTGGGGATGGAACCCAGCGCCTTGTCTAGGCCTGAGCTGCTCTCCCAGCGCCGCTTTTGTTTCTCCAGTTTTTTTTCCTGAGACAGAGTCTCACCGTGTAGTCCAGGCTGGCCTTGAAATCGGTTCTCCCGCCTCAGCCTCCTGAGTGCTGGGATTACAAGTGTGCACCACCATGCTTGGCTGCATTTATTCTTCAGTAAAGTTCTAGCATCTATACCAAGTGCTGAGATAGACAGACCCAGGGCTGGCAGGGGCCTGTAGTCTCTTAGTTCCTGACAGTAAGTGTCATTCCGGGGACCTGCCTGCCTCTGGGAGGCTGAGGCACGAGGAGTACAAGCTCAAGCCCAGCCTGGGCAACTCAGCAAAACCCTGTCTCAAAATAGAAAATACATAAAAAAGGGAGTGGGAAGGCCCTGGATTCAATCCCCAGTGTCAAAACAAACAAAAAAAACAAAGAAGGATCCATGCAGGTGGCCGGATCCGCCTGTGCTTCAGACTTCAGGGCTCCCAACCTGTCCACTGTGGCCACGGAGCACCCAGGTGGACGGGGCAGCCAGGCTGGGTTCATTGTTGCTGTTGCTGGAAGAGGAAACTGAGGCCCTATGGGCTGTGCCTACGCCACCTGCCCAGAGGCCCGACCTCGGAGCTGGCCGGCTCCTCTCGGTCATTAGGGCTGCTGGTGGGGGTGCTGGGGTCTGGAGGGGCAGGCGGGCGGGCGCATGGCTCTGCACTTCTGTGCAGCTCCTCCCACAGGGGTGGTGTCACAGTGCCCCTTCATGGGCACGCTGACCTCTCCCTCCCCGCGCCAGGCATCCCCGAGGACTCCAAGGTGGAGGGGCCAGCCTTCACGGACGCCATCCGCATGTACCGCCAGGCCAAGGAGTTGTACGGCACCTGGGAGATGCTATGCGGGAACGAGGTGCAGGTGAGGCCTGAGCGGGGGCTGCAGACAGGCTCGGGAGGAGGGGACGAGCTCAGATCCAGACAGGAGGCTCAAGCCCGGTTACTTGTTACTTTGTTCACTCGTTGACTTGAGCACCTCGCTGGACCAGGTGCCTTGTGCAGATGCAGCGCTTGCCCTCAGGAGCTATCTCCAAGGAGACACTAACATTCAAGTTGCGTGTGGCGGTGCATGCCTGTAATCTTAGCACTTGGGAGGCTGAGGCAGGAGGATCACCATGAGTTTGAGGCCAGCCTGAACTACATAGTGTGACCCTGTGTCAAAACAAATTGAAAAAAAGAAACACATTCAACACACACACACACACACACACACACTCACACACACACACACGCATGTGCAGCCAGAATGGGCGTCCAGTGTTGGAGGTGTGGAAAGACCCTGGGGCAAGGCCTCTGAGTCTGAGGGGCCTGCGGGGCACCCAGGCAGGTAGGCCTGACACCCTGGAGGGTGTGGAGCCAAGGGCCAAGCCTGCAGAGAGGGGCTGGAGGGGCAGGCTGGAGAGAAGCAGGTCGGCTGGCCTTGCTGCAAGCCCAGCTTGAGCCCCTTGGTCCTAGATCCTGAGCAACCTGGTGATGGAGGAGCTGGGCCCCGAGCTGAAGGCAGAGCTTGCGCCACGGCTGAAGGGAAAACTGCAGGAGCGGCAGAGACAGTGGATCCAGGTGGGCTGGGACCCACATGGGATGGGGGACAGCGGGGCAGAGCCCTCATCCCATGTGACACCCCCTCTGGCTGCAGATCTCAGACTCTGTGTACCGCATGGTGTATGAGCGGGTCAAGGTGCCCTTCGAGGAGACGCTGTCCAAGCTGCAGTGGGCGCGGCCCGCCATGGAGGCGACCATCCGCACAGACATGGACCAGATCATCACCTCCAAGGAGCACCTGGCCAGCAAGATCCGAGGTAGGCGGCCGGCGCCGGGCTGGACTGCGGCCCTTCAGGGGCCTGGCAAGCTTGCTTTCTGTTGTATGGTCCGGGACTTGCTTGTTGATTGATTTTGAAAATCAGAATCAAGATCTGATGTGGTGGTGCATGCCTGTAATCCCAGCACTGAGGAGGCTGAGGTGGGGGGATCTCTGTGAGTTCGAGGCCAGCCTGAACTACATAGCAAGAGCCTGTCTCTGAAACAAATCAAACAACCTTGTGCATGCTAACCAAGTGCTGTCCTCTTGAGCTACGTCACCTTTCCAACAGTTTTCTTAGTTTTTTCCCATCAGTATCAGAAATACCTCAGGTCCTGCCTCAAAATTCCCTGTTATTTTTACCGTGTGGGTTTGTTGCCTTTGCCAACTCTTTCTCTGCAATCATTGAGCCTGGGAATGTAGCCACCGCCAGTGGCTTTCTGTAAAAACTGCACAGTGCGTGCAGCTATGGCATCAGGACTTGGGGGCCGGGGGGAGGAGCCCGCACTGACCTGGCTCCTCTGGGCGCAGCATTCATCCTGCCCAAGGCGGAAGTGTGTGTGCGGAACCACGTCCAGCCCTACATCCCGTCCATCCTGGAGGCCCTGATGGTGCCCACCAGCCAGGGCTTCACCGAGGTGCGGGACGTCTTCTTCAAGGAGGTCACTGACATGAACCTGAACGTGATCAATGAGGGCGGCATCGACAAGCTGGGCGAGGTGCGCTGGGCCTGGGTCTGCTCTCCCTGGGGCACTGGCAGGGGCCCACCCAGGCAGAACCTGTAAGCAAGCTGGGATCCCAGCTCTCTGAGAGGCTGAGGGAGGAGGGTCGCAAGTCAGAGCCCCACCTGGGCAACTTAGCATCACCCTGACTCAAAATAAAAATACAAGTAAGGCCTGGGAATGTAGCTCACTAGGAATGTCCTGAGTTCAATCCCCAGTACTGGGCAGGGGTGGGAGGTGGCAGGAGAGTGGGGAAGAAGAAGCTATAAGTAAAAGTCCCTCGGAAATAGACCAGGACAGAGCTGCCCCAAGTCCTGGTGCAGGACAGCAGTTAGGCAAAAGAGGGAACATTTAACTCCCTGCCAGAAAGCCTTCTAAATCAAGAAGGAAGCTAAAAATAGAAAAGAATTTAAACCAGATGTGGTGGTGCAGACCTGTAATCCCAGGACTCAGGAGGCTGAGGCAGAACGATCCCCATGAGTTTGAGGCCAACCTGGGCTGAAAGTGAGTTCAAGGCCAGCTTGGAATACATAGCAAGGCCCTGTCTCAAAAAAGCAAAAACAAACCAGGCCAGGGATTTAGCTCAGTGGTTTCACCGCCTGCTGTGCAAGCACAAGGATCCCAGTTCCATCCCCAGTACCAAAAAATCAAACACAAAAACAAACCAAAAAGCAAGAGTCAGGTACCCTACAAATGCAGACCAAGTCTCCTCAGTTACCGGGCTCTTGGGGCGAGTGTCCTCCCTTAGTCCCCATGTGGGGACAGCTGGCTGCCCGGCGCCCTCATAGCTCTCGGGTGGGGCCAGCATCCATCCTACCTGTCAGCCACCTCCTCTCCGCTTCAGATTCGGGAGCCTACAGACAGTAAGAGTCAGAATTCGAGAAACAGAAGGCCCTTAGGTGTCACGAAAGCCATCTCCCGATTTGGGGGATGAAGACACCAAGGCCCAGAGGAGGAGAGGCTTGCCCAAGGTCACCCAGCACCCTGGAAGGGATGAGGTCTCCCTTCGGCTCTGCCCTCCTGTCCTGGGCTTCCAGGGTTATCCGATGGGTGCCAGCCTGGGAGCCCATCACACAGGTGTGGGTCTGGGGGTGCTTTGCCCCGGCTCAGGCCCACGTGTCCCGCCCCCTGCAGTACATGGAGAAACTGTCGCAGCTGGCCTACCACCCCCTGAAGATGCAGGGCTGCTATGACAAGATGGAGCCGCTCCGACTAGATGGGCTGCAGCAGCGCTTCGACGTGCCCAGCACGTTCGTGTTCAAGCAGCGCGCGCAGATCCTCATGCGTGAGGTGGGCCCCGCTCCCCACCTTTCTTGGGGTGGCCCCGCCCCGTCCCTCCCTGTGCCCGCTGTAGCTGGGGACCGGAAACCATTGAGAACGAGGGGCACGTGGACCGCCCCTCACTCCTCCCCGGCGGGCCTGGGCGGGCAGGGGCTGCGGTAACTCCGGGGTTGTCATGTCCCCCGCGGTGTCCCCACAGCAAATGGACAACGCCGTGTATACCTTCGAGACACTGCTGCACCAGGAGCTGGGGAAGGGGCCCACCCGGGAGGGACTGTGCAAGTCCATCCAGCGCATCCTGGAGCGGGTGCTCAAGGTGAGCCGGCCCGGCTGCCGCCCGCGGGGGCGGGGCCCAGGATCCTGAGCTGCTGACCCAGCGCCCCCTCCCGTGTCCCCCCGCCCTCCAGAAGTACGACTACGACAGCAGCACGGTGCGCAAGCGGTTCTTCCGGGAGGCGCTGCTGCAGATCACCATTCCCTTCCTGCTCAGAAAGCTGGCTCCCACCTGCAAGTCGGTGAGCGCCCAGCCTCCCAGCCCTGCGGGAGCCGATCCGCCACACCTGCCCTGACCCGCGTCTGCTGCCCCCTGCCGTTCCCCACAGGAGCTGCCCCGCTTCCAAGAGCTGATCTTCGAGGACTTTTCCAGGTTCCTCCTGGTGGAGAACACTTACGAGGAGGTGGTGCTGCAGACCGTCATGAAGGATATCCTGCAGGGTGAGTGGCCGCGCGGGCCTGGAGGGGCCGGGGCTGGCTGGTGGCAGAGAAGGGGCAAAGCAAGGCCCAAGAGCCCAGGCATGGTAGCACACACCTGTAATCTTAGCATTCAGGAGGCTGAGGCAGGAGGATCACCGTGAGTTTGAGGACAGCCTGGGCTATGTAGTGAAACCCTGTCTCAAAAGCAAAACCAAAATCACACACAGACACACACACACACACACACACACACACACACAAACACACAAAAGACCACTGGTAGCTGTGTGGTCCCAGGGATCAGAGCTGCCTTCCTGAGCTGTTTCCTCAGATCTTCGGCTTTGCTGGGAGGCTCAGAGGAGGGACATAGTGGTTAGCAGCCTGGGCTCTGGGCAGCTGGAGCCACAGTCCAGGCCACGCCAGGGGGAGGAGGCAGGGCTATGGCACCCACTGCGCATCCTGACCCGTGTGGCCCCCAGCTGTGAAGGAGGCTGCGGTGCAGCGGAAGCACAACCTGTACCGGGACAGCGTGGTCCTGCACAACAGCGACCCCAACCTGCACCTGCTGGCCGAGAGCGCGCCCATCGACTGGGGTGGAGAGGACGGTGACAGGGGTGATGGCAGCGGAGGCAGCCCCAGCCCCGGTGTCCCCGAAGTGGCTGCCCTTTCAGAGAAGCGCCGGCGTGCCAAGCAGGTGGTGTCCGTGGTCCAGGACGAGGAGGCGGAGCTGCCCTTTGAGGCGGGCTCCCCGGCGACCCCGGACAGTGTCACCGAGATCCGCGGGCTGCTGTCCCAGGATCTGCGGGCCGAGAGCGCCCCCCCAGCCAGCCCCCTACTCAATGGGGCGCCCGCCCAGGAGAGCCCCCAGCCCGAGGCGGCCCCCGAGACGCCCTCGCCGCCCAGCTCGCCGTCCTGGCGCCTCCCGCCCGTGAAGGCTGTGGACCTTGAGCCCCCCAAGCCCAGCGACCAGGAGACCGGGGAGCAGGTGTCCAGCCCCAGTGGCCGGCCCCCCATCCACACCACCACTGAGGACAGTGCGGGGGTGCAGACGGAGTTCTAGGCTGGCGGCCTGAGTGGCTGCTTCCTCCGAGGCACCGGCAGGCTCGGGGCCCTGGGCCTCCCGGGGCTGCTCTGTCTTCCTTTCTGCAGGCTGATCTTGGATGTAGGGTCTGGCTTCCAGGCTTTCTCTTTGTGCAGGGGTTGAACGCAGCTGGAGGGGCTGGGGGCTCCTCCATCCTGTCCTCCGGGCACCACCACTTCCCTCCCGGTGGGCCTTGCCAGCCTCGGAGGGAGGACGATGGGCGTGGGCACTGTGACTGGAAGTCTGCGGAGCTGGTGAGCTGCCCTCCTGTCACTATGGGGCCCACCAGGACCAGGACTGTGGGGGCCCCACTTCTTGTCCTGACCCTCCCAGGCCAGCTCCCGGGACTGAGGGTGATGGAAGAAGGGGTCGCCAGGCTGGGGGAGGCGGCGTGTCGGGCGCTGTCCCCGAGGGGAGTGGGTGAGGGCCGGGGATGGAAGGAGAAAGACCCGGAACGTGCTGGTCTGTGGCGAGAAGTGTCCTGAGGGACGACGTCGGGAGAGTGTCCGAGGGAGGCTAGAGGCCGAGATGGCAGAGTGAGCATCACTGGAAGCGGGGATGTGGGGGGCTCTGCACACACCCGCCTCTCCCAGCCCCCGTCTCCTTCCTGCTGGCCGGGGATCGGCTGTCTCAGGGTCCCCCACCTTGGCTCACACTTTGGACACACAGGTTGGTCAGAAGCATGGTGTCACCTCCCTGTCCCCTCCGAAGGACCTGGATGGGGCTCCTGAGGGTGAAGGAGGGGAGTATGGCCTCTGCTGCCTCTGAGCCCAAGTCCCTTGACCCTGAAAATTCTAGACCCCTCTATGCAAATGTCCTCATGAGTCACTGGGCTTGGGTGCCCCTTCCTCAGCTGCTTGCCCCAGGGTGACGGCCCCACCCAGTGTCCTGCAGACCCACTCCCCAGGGCAGGGCCTTAGACCCACAGGACGGCAGCTGGTGCTCAGTCAGGGACCCCCCAGTCCCCAGCCCCAATGTCAGCTGCATCACTAACCTCTTCTGATGTCCTCTAGTGCCTTGGGGGTTTTGAGCAGCATTCCCAGATATGGTATTGCAAATACTATGCAAACTGTTTAAGCTTCTGCTAATCAATAAATGCTTTATTTAAAGTTGTTCTCTTGTGTGTTGCTGGGTGCCAGGGTGGGAGTGGGGGTGCGGATACCTGGGCCAGGGACTGTGTCCAGGAGAGTCCCCTTGCACCCCAGCTTTCCTGACCAAGAGCCACTGGTTCACGGTCTAAGTTTTTTTTTTTTTTTTTTTGAGAAGGGTCTCACTACGCAGTTCAGGCTGGCCTTGAACTTGTGGTGATCCTCCTGCCTCAGCCTCCCAAGTGCTGTGCTGGGACTACAGGCGTGCACCACCATGCCTGACTCCACCATCTGAGTTCTTATCCCATTTTACAAAAGAGAAGAGACTGAGGCTCAGAGAGAAGGGACTTGTCCAAGGTCACAGAGCTGCGGGTGACTGCACGTCTGACAGCCCCTCGGGTCCTCTGCCCAACCTGGGCAGGCTGCTGCTCAGCAGCACCGAGGGACTGGGCAACAGCAGGGCCAATAAGGCCAGTCAAGGTCCTGGGGTGCCTACCCACAGTTGGATGCAAACGGCCACAGCAGCTCTGTCCAAACCAGGTCACAAGCTGGCATTGGTGAGAACATACTGTGTTTACGTGGGGGCCAGGGGCATGGGGCACCTTGGCTGTGGTTATGCTGGGGTGGGGCTGCCCTGTTAGTGGGTGATGCACGTCCCTACTGGTGTCCCTGGTCAGCCTGTCCGTGGTGGCCAGGGGCTGGGCCAGATTCTCCCAAAATAGGACCGAGGTGTAAAACACAGGGTTTGGGGCCAGAGGCTGAGACCCCGTTGAGCCTGGAGCTTCTCAGCTATATGAGGGGATGGCGAAAGTCCTTGGCCCCTAGTGAGCAGTAAAGACCCACAGCCATTGCACTCCACAAAGAGGCCTGGCTTGCCTCAGGCCTCAGTCTCCCCTGTTGGCCAGGAAGAGCCCAGGAAGGTGTAGGGGGAGGCACCCAGTGCCTGTCCTGGACAGCAGGCCTCACCATGAAGGGCATTCACCCGTCCTCTTCAGCACTGCAGGGATGATGGTTCCAGTGAGGTGGGGAAACTGAGGCCCAGGGCGAGGATCTTTGCCACCCCCAGGCCCAGCTCCCCCATGCAGCCCTGTCCTGGACCCTGCGCCTCAGGTGAGCACCAAGCACCCCCTGGCGGCTGCCAACTTGTCAGGGCCCTATCGTGTACCGTACTGGACACGTAGGAAATGGAGGCCCGGAGGCTGGCACCTGAGCCCAGATACCTTAAGCAGGCCTGCCTGTGACGAACACGCACCTCTCCCTTGAGCACAGGTGCACGTGGCTGTTGGAATTCTGCAGCGACCCATGGGCACCACGTGCAGGTTCCAGTCAGGATGCGTCTGGGCTTCAAACCCACACTGCCAGGTCCCTGTTCCGAGGTGGACGTAGCCTGGGTCCATAGGGCACCACCAGCTTGTGGGGCAGGGGCCACTCCACTGCCACCCATGGCTCTGCTTGGCCAGACCGGGTCTCCCCACCTGGAAGTGCATCCGACAGCTTCCCATTCCAGAGTGGCTCTGTCTTCCCAGTCTCCTGCCCTCCCGTGCCTGGGAGACCCCAACAACACAGGGACGGAGCACGTAGATAGATTTATTGATGTTCCTGCTCTGGGTCCAGCTGTGTGGGGGAGGAGCACAGATGTGCAGAGTGGGAGCAGCGCGGGAGGCTGGGGCACAGGCCCGCGCAGGTGCCCCTCCCCAGGTGCGCCCCTACCCCATGCCAGGGACGCGGGCACACTCCACACCTGGACTCTGCCTCCGCTGCTACAAGCCGCCCACCTCCCTGCCCAGTTCTCGGAGCGCCCCCGCGTGGCCCAGAGGTGCGTGGCAGAGAGATGCCCCGCGAGCCACCCCGGGGAGCCTCGGGTGCTGTGCTCAGCTGCTGTGGTAGATCCGGAGGCTCTGCTCGATGTCCTGGCGGCACAGTGGGCAGGTGCGCAGGGGCTGGCAGCACTGCTGGCAGCAGCAGACGTGGCCACAGGGGAGGAAGACGGTCTGGGCCTGCAGGGAGGGGACAGCGCAGTGCGTGAGCCCTGGCCCTGGCTCTCCCAGAGACGAGGCTGGGTCCCAGGCCCTGCGCTGTTTGCCTTCAAGACCTGGTGGAGCAGTCACCAGGTGCCAAACACTGCAGGAATAGAATATATGCCTCGGGATGGGGGACCTCGTAGTGCTTTTCTGTTTGCAGTCGTGTGCTTTGTAAATAACACGCCAACACCCACAACCCCGACTGTCTTTCTTCTTCCCCTCCCCTCCTCTCCTCTCCCTTCTTTCCTTCTTTTTCCTCCTCAGTACTGGCGACTGAATCCAGGGCCTTCATCCTGAGCCACATTCCCAGCACTTTTTAAAAAACAATTTTAAAATAGGGTCATGCGTGCCGGGGATTTAGCTCAGTGGTTCCACCACCTGCCTCTCAAGCTCAAGGTCCTGAGTTCGATCCCAGGTACCAAACCAAACCAAACCAAACCAAACAAAACAACAGGGTCATGCTCACTTGCTGAACTGCCCTGGGCGTGAGCTCATAATCCTCCTGCCTCAGCCTCTCAGAATGTAGGGAGTACAGGTGTGCACCACCGAGCCCCTTCTTTCATAAAGCTAGGATTAATTTCTAGGGGCCACTCACGCCGCACCACCCGGCCCAGGCACTTCCCACATCCGGTGTGGCAGCTGTGGGGGCCTCTGGTGTCCAGACACCCTGTCCACTGGACACTGAGGTGTTCCACTGGCTTTTGTTCAGCACTGGGGGTGCAACTCAGGGCCTTGGCCGCATAGGGCAACCAAGAGCGATGGCCCCACCCTGTTTATAGTCTATGTTGTGCATCCACCTGCCCAAACTCTGAGCTCCTAGTCTAAAATGCCTCTACCTCATGGACCGGGAGCCCATAACGGTAGCCAGGGTGTGCTCCCAACTGCTCAAAGCTGTCCGTAAAATAAGAAATGGGAGCCACCTACAGCGCCTAAGAGCACGGACCTGATTAAAAGTACAACCTGCCGGTCCCCGGCACGTGGCAGTCCCCATGTCAAGTGCAGAGAACAATAAACTGCTACCATGCTGCTTTTCTAAGTGCATCCCATGGTGGAGGCAAGGGAGAATTTGTAATTTATATACTGCTATGTGTATATATATTTTGCAGTAAGTGTTAATTCTGCAACAATCTTTAATGATCTATTTACTTGTTTTTTGAGACAGGGTCTTGCTGTGTACCCCGGGCTGGCCTTGAAGTCACAGCAATGCTCCTGCCTCAGCCTCCCATGTGCTGGGACTACAGGAGTGTACCACCATGCCTGGCTTAAAACAGAGTCTTGATAAAGGAAAATCATGTTGGTATTTCATGAAATGAGAAATTTCCCCAATGTATTCATTACATTGGAGGGGAAAAAAAAATCCTTAAAAAAAAAGAAAAAAGGCTCAGAAAATGATGTCAGTGTTGCTCACTAATCACGTTTGGGTCATAGGACCATGAGTCACCTCAGCTTCCAGTGTTTTGGTTTTGTTCTCTTTTTCCTCTGGTACTGGGGATTGAACTCAGGACCTTGGACTTGCAAGGCAGGTGTGGCTCCACTGAGGTACATCCCTGGCCTCCAGGGTTTTTTTTATTTTGCTGTATTTCCCAAAATACGGGGTGAAGATCCCCGGTACCAAAAAAAAAAAAATAGTACTAACCAAAATACGTGGTAAATTATTTATGGAACTAGAGCACACTGGCTGGAAACCACCAGTGCCTCTGCCAGTGTGGGCCGTGGTTGGCCCTGTGCCGCCCCACGTACCTCCCGCTCCAGGCACACGACGCACTCCGAGACGGGCAGCTCTCGGTCCTCCTCGGGGGGCGCAGACGGCCTCACGGGCACTGTGGGTGGCTCCAGGGCCTCGAGGACCTCCCCCTTGGGTGGTTTCAGCTCTGTGGGGACAGAGGGGCTGGCTGAGCCAAGGGCCCATCTCTGACTTCCCCAGCCCCTGGGGCGGCCCTGGCACTGCCTGGCCCGTGAGGGAGCCGGGACGAGGGCGGGCGCTCTCTGAAGCCAGGGACTCGGTCTTTTTCATCTTCTCCAGCTTCCTTCTCCTCGGCCCCACTGTCCCCATCCGTGAGATGGGAGTGACATCGTGCCCTGCCATCTCGGGACAGGCGTGGTCACCGCCTCGCTGACAGGGGCCTCTTCTCCCTAAGCCACTACTCCCTGGGGTGGGGCGTGTCACTTCCAGAGATGAGAAATCTGGGGCTCTGAGAGGGGCGTCCCTCTCCCAGGGCCACACGGACATCAAGTGGTATGGCTGCAGGACAGGAGCCCTTGGCTAGGGGTGCAGCTTCTGCACCGGGCTGGGGAGACAGAGACAGGGGAAGGGCCGCTGCCCCTCAGGAGATGCAGGAGCTAAGAAGCCCTAAGCCGCCGGTTGCTCTGCCCCGGAGCCAGCAGCCCCTGCCGGGGGCCTGACCAGCACCCACACACTCTGCAGGGGCTTCACCGAGGGCTGGCCCTGGGGTCAGTACCTGGCTGGGCCCTGGCCTCGTCCTGCAGCTCCCGGGCTCTCCTGAGGATCTCGTGCTGCAGACCAGCCTCCGAGACGCCCACCTGCGGCGGTCAGAGGACAGCAGATTGTGGCCGGGGTTGCGAAGGCCCCTGGCACCTGTGGCTGGGTCCTGGCACCAGCCGAGAGAGCTCTGTGGCTCTGCACAAGACAGGCCTGGGTGCAGGGGGAGAAACCAAGGCCCAAAGGAGACCGGCACTACTAACAGCCTGTTATCAAGCGTCAGAAACTGCAAGCGTCTCCCACACAGCCTAACATCGCCCCGGACCCCACCGCCACAGCTGGGTGGCCGGGTGGGTAAGGACAGGGCACTGAGGCCCAGCTGCTGACAGTCACGAAATCCCAGGCCCACAGAGGGGCCTTGGTCCCGTCAGTGCAGAAGGCCTGATGGAAGGTGGGTCCTCCCTCCGGGCGCTGCCGGGACCATCCAATCGCTCAGGGACCAGAAACGGCTGAGCAGGGAGCTAGCCACAGCACGCCATCATCGCCATCCTGTGCCAAGGGGTCAGTGAGAGTTCTCTTGCACCCAGAACACAGCCAGGGCTTAGTCAGCACTGCGGTTGTGACTGTCAAACTGTGGGGCAGGGTGGGGGCCGGGGCAGATGACCCCAGGACCTGCGTCGATCCCATAGCTTGTTTTGGTGGGTGTTTTGGAGACAGGGTCTCTCTATGTAGCCCAGGCTGACCTCAAACTCTCAGAGAGCCTCTTGTCTCAGCCTCTCAAGTTCTGGAATCACAGGTGTGTGCCACCACGCCCGGCTGACCTCTGAAGTTTGAAGACCCAATCTGAGAGGCTATGTGGGTTTGGCAGGACCCACACTCCTGGGGTCCCGAGGCAGGGGAAGTGCACAGCGTGGCTGGGCACATGGGGAGGCGTCCTGGCCGTGGGGTCACACCAGGCCTCACCGCAGACCCAAGCAAAGCAAGCCGACCCAGGCCAGGGCCAGCTCTCCCCCTCCCCCAGGGGCTGTCACGTCCCACCTTGGCCAGGTCCCTGGGGCTCATCTGGCTCAGCATCCCCAGTGAGATGCGGTGGTGGGCGAAGACAGGCAAGTAGTGCTCGGCTGACAGCTCCACCAGCAGGGCCACCAGCTGGCGCTCCATGCCCTCTTCCTGCAAGAAGGACCCGCGAGAAAGGTCAAGGCTGCTGCCAGGGAAAAGCAGAATAGAGAGAGACCCCACTGATTGTTTCCAAGAGGAAACGAAGGGTTTGAATGCAGTACGCATAATTATCATAAGGGCAGAATATATTCTTTCGATTTTTCCTTGCAAAAACTTTTGTATAAATGCAAAGAAGTGCGTGCACATGTGTAGTCCCTGCCTTTCTATCTGTAAACATGAAAATATTGGGCAACTTTGAATATCCACCGAGAGAACTTTTCAATAAACCGGGGCTCTTCCACATACCAGGCAGGTATCAAGTGTGGAAATGACGACCAGAGAGCTGTGTAGACAGCCTGGAGGAGCCCGGCACATGTTGCCGAAGTGGTATGGAGAGAATGAGTCAATTCTTTTTTTGAGACAGAGTCTCCCTGTGCAGTCCAGGTTGGGCCTGAACTCATGGCGATCCTCCTGCCTCAGCCTCCCAAGTGCTGGGATGACAGGTGTGCACGCCCCCACTTCAATTTGTATTATAAATTTTAAAAGTGCACGCGCCGCTGCATGGGGAGGGAGAGAGCGGGTGCAAGTACACATGCCACACCCACCTCTCTCTCCTTTCTGTCCCTGCTCGGACCTGGCACAGGTGGCCAGGAAGAGGGAGTGGGTGGCCCGGAGAGATGGACACCAAGTCCTCACCTGCAGCCTCAAGGACAATGGCTTCTGGTCCAAGAGCCGCTGATACTGAATGAGCCAGTAGTTTTCCTGCTTGGTCTCACTTTTGGCTTCCAACTCCGTCTGCCAAGAGCAGAACCAGGCAATGTCAGCTACAGACTGGGAAATGGAAACTAGTGACAGTGGCCGGCTCCTCTGAGAGATGCCTGCCACCTGGTGCTTCACCGAGGAGGCTCTTGCCATGCGTCGCACTGCTTGGTGTCCTCACGGAGACACTGGGATAGTAGGAAGTGTCATTGTACCCACTGCTGGCAAGAATGACCTCAGGGAAGGGCACAGAGCTGCCGATGCCACAGCCCTGGACAGCAGGCACCTCTGGGCTCAGGCCCCTGGGAGGGACTGCTCCTGTCTGCTATGGGAAAGCAAAGCTGTCCGTGGCCATCTGTGTCCTCCACAAAGCTCAGGCAGTAGCACCACAGGATTCTCGGGGCACCCTTGGCTTCTGAGCAGGCTTCGCTATGGGACGAGGCTGAAGGATGGTGACATGCCAGGGGCCACAAGTCCTTCTGCTATCAATGAGTATTCATGGAGGGCCGCGATGCAGAAGGGAGCAAAGGGCACCACCAGCCATGGCAGCAGTGATCCCAGCAGCTGCCATCAGTCTGCAGAGCCCTGTGTACCACGCTGGGCCAGGCTCAGAAGGAGTTACTGTATTTCACCCTCCTGACTCTGAGATCCTGGCCCAGGGTCAGGGAGGGATGCTGAGGCCGGCCATGGGGCGGGGCTTGGGCTGCCATCTCCCCAGCCTCTCGGGAGCCAGCTGCCCTTGAGGGTCCTTCCTGGACCATGCTGAGCAGCTGCCTGCTTCTGTCCTGGGCCCTCTTGTACCATGGATGCCCCTCCTTCCTACGCCAGTGACCCTGAGCTCTGCTGAGGTGGTGCTTCCTCCCCGAGTTGGGCATGGCATCTGGCTGCTCCTGCACAACCGCACACCAATCCCAGTGTGGGAGGAGTGGGTGACCTCTGGTGGCACAAATTCGCCACCTGGGCTTCGAAAGAGCCTGGTCTCGTCCTTTTCAACCCACGTGCCCCAGCCATATTCATAAGGACACAGGTGGGTTGGGGATTTAGCTCAGTGGTTTTGCCGCCTGCTTCGCAAGTGCAAGGACCCGAGTTCAATCCCTGGTACCAAAAAAAAAAAAACAAAAAAAACAACATAGTGGCCTGGGGATTTAGCTCAGTGGTTCCAGCACCTGCCTCGCAAGCGCAAGGTCCCGAGTTCGATCCCCGGCACAAAAAAAAAAGAAAAAAGTGAACATAAGGACACAGGTGCGACCTGCTCCTTTCCCTGGCTGGTGGGCCTGGCCCCTGCACTCACTGCTCAGGGCTCCCAGGTCTGGAGGAGATGCCCATGAGGGGCTTGGCCACCCTGATGTGCCAGGCTGAAAGACAGGTGGGTGCAGGGGTGCAGGGGAGTGTGGGGCCGGAAGCAGGTTGGGCGGCCTGCCCCAGACACGGGAGCCACCCCCAAAGGAGCTGTTCCCAAACCCTGGGCTGGAGACACTCTGAGAGCCTTGCCCACCAAGGCTCATACCTGGAGCAGTCTACACGCCTAGCACCACGGCCTGGCCGTGGAAAACACACTGCAAAGTGGTGAGAAAGGGCTGCTTGTTGAGGGGTATGGGCCCTCTCAGCCCTGGTGCATGCTAGGTGAGTGCACTACCACTGAGCCGCAGTTCCAGTCTTTTGCGTGTGTGTGGTAATGGGGATTGAATGCTGAGAAGTCTGAGGCATATCCCCAGCCCTTTTGAAAATTTTATGTTGAGACAGGATTTCGCTAAGTTGCTCAGGCTGGCCTCAGACCTGCTATTCTGGATCCCCCTGCCGGAGTAGCTGGGCTTACAGGCCTGCACCACCATGCTTGGACTGTTTTTTTTGAGATGTGGTCTCACTGTGTTGCCCAGGCTGGTCCTGAACGTGAGAGCTCAAGTGATCTTGCGTCAGTCTTGCTGGGAGTAGAAATGGGCATCACCACACCCAGGTGGGTATACGCCATCTTATGCTGAAAAAGCACATACATTCAAACTAAGTGTAATCTCAGCACTAAGGGAGGCTGAGGCAGGAAGATCGATGCAAGTTTGAGGCCAGCCCAAGCTACATGGTGTCAAGGCCAGCCTGAACTACAAAGTGAGACCCTGTCTCAAAAAATTAATTAATTAGGGCTGGGGATTTAGCTCAGTGTTTTCGCTGCCTGCTTCGCAAGCGCAAGGACCCGAGTTCAATCCCCAGTACCAAAAAAAAAAAATTAATTAATTAAAAAAAGAGGAGGGGCTAGGGATTTAGCTCCGTGGTTCTGCCGCCTGCCGCACAAGCGCGCGCAACGTCCACAGTTTGATCCCTGGTACCAAAAAGAAAAAAATCAAAAAATAAAAAAAAAAGGAAAGGCATATGTATGCCAACCATGATGGTGCGTGCTGGAAATCTCAGCACTGAGGGCAGCTGAGGCAGGAGAATCACAAATTCAGGACCCACCTAGGCGATTTAGCAAAACCCTATCTCAAAAAAAAAAAAAGGCTAGGGATGCAACTCAGTGGTAGAGCAGTCCTGGGTTTGATCTCCACTATGTGGGGGAAAAAAAGAGACACAAATATCTAGAAATGCACATCAAAACACATCAAAAACACACATCCAAATTAGCAGTAGATAACTCAGAGCCCACCCATGCCCAGAGGCGGAGCACGTACCAGGAGTTCCCGAAGTTCCTCCTCCCGCTGCTTCTTCTCTTTGAGCAGCTGCTGGAGCAGGACGCTGAGCACCCAGCGCTGCTCAGCGATCACCTCCTGCAACAGAGGATCCCGCCCAGGGCTTTCTGTGAGCGCGGGCATAGTCTCCACACAGTGCAGGACCAAGACGGGTGCAGCCCGGCCCGAGCTTTCCAGGTTCTCAGCTCTGCCCTGCGCCTCTAGGCTGAGCTGGGGGACAAAGCCCAGAGGCCCCTCTGCCCCGGCATCCTGCCCCCTTCCTCCAAAGCTGACATCTCCCCTCCTTGTGGCCTAAAGTCCAGGGATGGGACCCTCGAGGCTGATGACAATGGAGCGGTGAGAAACATCAAACGAAAGAAATGACAAGCAGCGTCTTGGTTGACCACAGAAGCGCACAGCAGGGAGGCCTGGAGCGGAGCCCCACGCAGGTGATGCGGGTGCCACACGCATGGCTGGAGTCCATGTCGGTGTCCCCGGCCACCCTCTCTGCCCACAAGGCGCCGACAGCAGGCTGGGGGTGGCAGCCTCTAGGTTAACCCAGCCCCTCATCTCTGAAGACTGTTCTGCGCTCACCGAAGGCCTTTGTCACCTCCCCCTTCTCCAACTGCCTGATGGCACAGACCACAATTGCATCTACCCTGGGGGGAGGCCCCAGGAAATGAAGTGACACAGCACATCAGGCTGACCTGACGGTGGGAGTGAGGCCGAGCACTCTCCCCACAGAGACACCACTGAACACAGACACGGGGACAGTACAGGGGCTCTGCTCAAAGCCTGGCATGGCGCCTGTCCTCACACCTGGCTGTCATCCCCCCTACATGCATCTGGGGGCGCTGAGGCCCAGGGAAGCGAGAGGGCCACCCCCTCCACCTGCCAAGACCACACAGCAAGGCCCAGCCACCGGCCCAGACTGCTGTCCACGTGTCTGAGCAGGACTGGGGCTCACAGAGACACTGCCCCGCTTCCCCTCTAGACACCCTTGTGGTCCCCAAAAGGCCCTTCTGCAGAGATGTCAGCCAGGGGTGCAACCAGCAGCCCAGAAGCGTGGCTTAAGGAGGTGGAGCTCAGCAGCGAGGGCTCCCCATGGAAGAGATGAGATGGAGGGGTGACTGGGTAGGAAGAGGGGGCCCCGGCAGTGAAGCCCTCCTTCCTCTGACCCTCTCCCTAGCACTGGCCTCCTGGGCCTAGGGCCTCCCGGGGACCAGTGCCTGGTGGCCCTGCCTGTGACAGGAGGAGCCCCACCCTGGTGGGCCATGAGCAGTGGCCAGGGCTGCGAGGGGTGGGGAGGGTGGGCGCAGCCAGGGAGCCCTACGTACCTGCAGCGCCTCAGTGTCCAGGGACTTCCTCTTTAACTCCAGCTGTGTCAGCTGCAATAACTCAGTTTCTATTAACCTAATCTAAACAGAAGATGAGACGGGGGTTTATTCGCATTGACCGTGGTTCCGTTTTGTGCTGCTGCCCTCCGATGGCTGGGTGGGGTCTAAGAAAGCTTCCCGGGAGGCTGTGGACTGAGGGAACCCTGCAGGCCGGGCGCCCTTGCCCAGGTGGGTAGAAAAAAAATCTGCTATTCTGTGGCTCTGGGTGCCTGGGGACAGGAACAGACTTGTCTTGGTCAACAGCACTGACCAAGAGCTGATACAGGGCCTGTCCCTGAGTGGGCACTAAAGAAAGGTATACAGGATAAAGAGGGGCCCCCTTCAAGGCCCAGGGACAGTGAGGGACAGTCTCAGGGTCACCGTGGAGCTGCTGCCTGCCACGTTCTCCAGGGAGCTATCTCAGGCAGCAGAGGGTAATGAGTACCAATAGTAGTGGCGGATAGTTATTGAGCATCTACTGAGTTCTAGACCTGTGCCGGTCTCACTACATAGCCCAGGCTGGCCTCAAACTCTTGGCAATCCCCTGCCTCAGCCTCCTGTGTACTGGGATTATAGGTGAGTACTACCACGCCTGGCTCTATCTGCATCCTTGCATCAGCTCTCCCTCTGGCTTTAGGAGGCATCACTGCCTCCACTATACAGACACGGAAACTGAGGCTCACAGAGGTTAGGGAGGACACAGAGCAGGGAAGGGAGAGAGTTCCCGGGGAAGCCCCAGCTCTGGGACTGAGAGGGAAGAGCTGGTCTGGGGGGTCAGCACTCATTCTCAGGGAATCTGGGGTCACAGCCCACAGTCAGCGACTTCTCCACTGTCTTCCCATGACCTTCTTCTGTCCCTGAGTCTCTCTGACCCTATCAGGCCCCGGTCAGAGGAATGAGCTTCATGTCTGGCAAGGTGGGATTGAAATTAAAGAGGGGAAAAAAAGGTAAGTTGGCTGTGGTCAAACGGGAAAAGAATAAATTAAAAAAACAAAACCAAACCATGCAACAATGTGGAATTCAAAGTATGCTGGACAGGGTGCCACGAGCCTTCTCATACCGAAAGCCCAAGTCGATTCCAGCCACCAGCCCCGAGAGACACAGGCAGCTCCCAAGGCCCCGCAGCCGGCCTGCCCTGGCCACCTGAGGTCACAGCAGGGTCTGGACAGGAGAGTGGCCACTGCTCCCAGGCTGAGGTCGCCCCATGGCAGATGTCAGGACCCATGGAGGCGCTGGGTGGTCCCTGCCCACCCCAGCGGGGATCCAATCTGCCCTGAGAAGCCTCTAGCTCCTGTTCAGCCTGAGCTGCTGTAGGCCTAGGGCTGAGTCTGCTCAGCAAGGGAGCCCTGTCGGGCATGGTCACCACTGAGCGGTCAAGGCCTCACATCAGCACTTCCCTGTCCCCAGTCCCAGTGTCATGGAAATGGAGAGGACAGACCACACTTGCTCGGCAGGATGCTGGCCGGGCCCGGAGGAGCCACCGGCAGCCTGACAAGCAAACCTTGGCAAGAGGATTCCAGCCTCACTGGCTGCCACCCAGACAGGCAGCTCTGCAAGGCAGCTCCAGGCCCATCCCAGCACTCACCTGGTTCCTGATCTGCCGATGCATCCGGTCTTTCTTCACCTGGAGGGCCTCGAAGGCTGCCTTCTGCATCGAGCTCTGTGAGAGACCAAGTCCTGCCACTCAGTGCAGGCCACCTCTCTAGCTTTCCCCTCAGGCCAGCGGGGGAAGCAAAATCTCCCTAAAAACACTTTAATTGGGAGGCTGAGGCAGGAAGATCCCCATGAGTTCAAGGCCAACCTGAACTACGCAGTGAGACCCAAAGAATCGCAGGGATCACCAGAGTCCCTGATGATGTAGCTGCTCTGGGCTTTCCTGGGTACCTGCACAGCGCAGGCTGAGAAGGAGGCCGGCAGAGGGCAGGGCGGAGGGCAGAGGTCAGAGGAGGGTGAAGGGCAGAAGAAAGAGCAGCGGCCCGTGAGGAGAAAGGGCAGAGGCACCCCCACACTCCCCTGTGTCTCCACAGCTTAGGACGGGGCTGCAGGGTAGATTCTGTGACCTGAGCCCCTGTGGGGGCTCTGTCTCCCTGCCCCTGGCTCCGTGGGTCGCACACTCTAAGGTCATGAAGGCTCCGGGGGTCACTGTGCAGCCGGGGGCAGGGCTCACCTCCTGCAGGATCTGGCTGATGGCTTTGCTCTGGTCCATCTGCTGCCAGGACAGGATCTGCTGGAACCTCTCGTCCATCTCAGCCATGCTGCCGGAAGGACAGTGCACTCACTCACTCTGAACCCTGCCGAGTGCCTCGGAGGACACCATGTGATCGTCACTCATTCAACAGTATCGATGGGTAGAGGCGGGGATTTAGCTCAGTGGTTCCGCTGCCTGCCTCACAAGTGCAAGGACCCGAGTTTGATCCCCGGTACCGGCAAAAAAAACACAAAAAAATAAAAAACAGTATTGATGGGTAATCCCAGCTCTGGAGGCTGAGGCAGGAGCTCAAGGCAGCCTGAGCTACATGGTGAGTTCAAAGTCAGCCTGGACTACAGAGCCAGACCTTGTCTCAAAAAACAAAAACCCTGCAAAACTGACGCAAGCCCTGTGGGGACTGTGCCCCTGATGGGAGACACGGGGTGTAGCTGAGTCACAGACCCAGAAAGAGGGTGGGAGGGCGGAAGCAGGCACAGAGGGCTCCCGGCCATCGGCCAGCTCCTGAATTCCCTCTGCAGCATCCCTGCGAGCCCCTCGGCCGGCCGGACAAGGTCTGGGGGCTCTCTCTCCAGAGCAAGGCTGGTGATTCGGTACAAACCAGCGGCCTCATCTCATTTGTCTTGGTACAGTCTTGCTTTTGAGTTCATTTCCTACTAAGTTATTTGCTGGGCCTGAAGCAGTAGAGTTTTGCTCATAGAATCCTCTAATAATTCTATAGGTAGTTACTGGGGTTTTCTGATAAGAAAACTTTAAGGCTCAAGGCAGGTACAGGGGCACACATCAGTAATCCCAGCACTCTGGGAAGCTGAGGCAGGAAAATCGCAAGGTTGAGCCCATACTTGGCAACTTAGTGACTTAGTAAGATCTTGTTTTAAAATAAAAAATGAAAAAAGGAGCTGGGTGTGGTGGCACATGCCTATGACCCCACCTCTCTGGGAGGCTGAGGCAGGAGGGTCCCAAATTGGAGCCCAGCTTGGGCAGCTATCAGTGACTTAGTGAGACCCCGTCTGAAAATACAAAATGGCTAAGAACGTAGCTCAGTGCGAAGGCCCTGGGTTCGAGCCCCAGTAACCGCCCCCATAAAGGGAATGAGTGTCCTCGATGTCACTGCCCCGCCCTGACACACGGGGTCCAGCGAGGAAACTGAGGAAGGCCGGGCCCTCCTGTCCCTGCAGGTGGCCAAGGCCGGGTGGGCCTGTAGCAGCACCCCCAGGCGCTCGCCTGGGACTCATCGACCTCCTTAGCTTACCTGGAACAGGCCTGCTGGACCAGGCTCTGCCGCTGCGCCTCGTGGGCCATCTGGACGAGCCGGCTGTTGCAGCTCTCGGTCAGCATCTGCTGCATGGCGGCTGCGGGCACAGACACGGGGTGAGGGCACTGGGGACTGGGCAGCCGCGTGCTCCACCCCTTCTCTGCCTGATGGTTTTCCTTAGAAAACAGCAGGTGGCCTTGTGCTCACCACAGAGCCCAGGCTGGCCTCAAACTCATGGAGATTCTCCTGCCTCAGCCTCCTGAGTGCTGGGATTAGAGGAATGCACTACCATGCCTGGCTGAAAAGGGTGGCATGTCTTTTGAAGACAAAAGTCACCTGAGCTTGGAAGGCTGACTAGCCGTAAACACTGAACTGCATATACAGACTCTTCCATAATTGTGTCACCCAGAAATACTATGTTTTTTTTTTTCTTGGTACCAGGGATTAAACTCCGGTCCTTGCGCCTTCGAGGCAGGTGGCAGAGCCACTGAGCTAAATCCCAGCCCGATACTATGTTTTGATACGTATTCTTCCAGGCCATTTTTATGCATATTTATGGATTCTGAAAGATTAAAATGAAAGAACGGAAACAAGGATTAACTGGGTGTGCTCAAAGTACATTAATAAAAAGGGCTGAGGGTAGCCATGTGGGGGCTGCATGCCAATAACCCCAATACTTGGGAGGCTGAGGCAGGAAGATCTTGAGTTTGAGGCCAGCTGGGCTATAAAATGAGTTCAAGCCCAGTCTGTACTACACAGCAATTTATTTCTTGTCTCAAAAGTAAATGAAAGAAAATAAAATAGAAGGGCTCGGATGTAGCAAGGGGTAGAGGACTTGCTAGCATGTACATGAGGCCTTGGGTTCAATCACAGCACCGAAGAAAAGAAAGCAGTGCCTCAAACATATGTTTGTGCATCTAGATTCACAGCAGGACAGCAGCCAAAGGGTGGAAACAACCCTCAGGCCCACTGATGGATGAACAGATAACACACTGTGATTACCTACTGCCATGGAATATTACTCAGCCTTGAAAAGGAAGGAAATTCTGACTCCTGCTATATCATATGGCCCCTGAGAACATATACTGTAGGATTCCACTTCAAGGAGGGACCCAGAGTGGTTAAATTTATGGAGACTGAGAGCAGGACTATGGTTCCCATGGGCTAGGCCAGGGGGGTGGGGAGTTAAGTGTTTCATGGGGACAGTTTCATTTTGATTTTGTTGTTGTTGTTGTTGTTTGTTGGGGGGGGTTGAGACAGGGTCTCACTACGCAGTTCAGGCTGGCTTTGAACTTGCAGCAATTCTCCTGCCTCAGCCTCCCAAGTGCAGGGATTACAGGTATGCACCACCACACCCAGGTCCCTGATGCTATAGATAAGAGAACTGAGGCCCACGAGAGTGTAGGACCTTAAAGTCCCTAGTCATAGGCTGGCTTCTCACTGGGACTCTGAATCCAAGCCTCAGTTGACAGGAACCTGGGCTCCTCCAGGGACCTGGCCGTCCCGCCCGGCCCTCGGGCTAACCCTGGCGCCCTCCAGGCTTCACGCTGGCCAGGCGCATGCGCATGCGCAAGAGAGGGCTGCTCCGCCCTGGTAGCTGGGCCCTCTTTGGGGCACGCACCCTCCCCTTTCCACGACTCACAGGCGATCTCCCTGCGACGCAGGTTCTCCGTTTCCTCCTGGGTTATGGCCATCAACTGTTCCATTCTTATTCTAGGAAAAAATTCCACCGATTCATTGGCAAACACCTCCTCCCGCGAGCCCTAGAAGGAGCCCACCCAGGAGGGACCCCCCCACTTAGCCTTCGCCCCGAGGGGGGAGACAAAGGTGTAAAAAAGATGTAAAACGATGAACGTCCTAAGGGTACAAGAGCCAGAGCTCCAATGCGGTCCCCACAGGAAGGCACCATGCTGGCGACTGAATTCAGCTGTTTCCCCCGCCCAGTGGGAGACACTAGGGAGAGCAGCAGCAGCTGCCACCGGCGATGACCGTGTCTTTTGGAAGCTGTGTTAGGACCTCTCGCTCATGTCCTTTGCAAACTTCCCTCAAAAAGAGTCACATAAACTGGTCATGGTGGCGCACACCTGTAATCCCAGCACCCAGGAGGCTGAGACAGGAGGATGTCGGAGAGTTTGAGGCCAGCCTGGGCTACATAGTGAGCTCCAGACCCTGTCTCAAATAACCAAAACCAAAATGAAAAAAAGTCACATAGGTTTGGTGTGGTGGCACAGGCTTATAATCCTAGCACTCTGGGAGGCTGCGGCAGGAGGATCAAAAATTTGAAAAAAAAAAAAATTCGAGCACAACCGGGGCAATTTAGTGACTTAGGAGACTCTGTCTCAAGATGTTAAAAAATGTGGGTCGGGGATTTAGCTCAGTGGTTCTGGTGCCTGCCTCAAAAGCGCAAGGTCCCAGGTTCGATCCCTGGTACCAAAAAACCAAAAACAAACAAAAAGATGTTAAAAACGGCTGGAGATGTAGCTCAGTGTAAAGGCCCTGGCTTCACTCCCCAATATTTAAAAAAAAGGTCACATAGGGCCAGGGATTTAGCTCAGTGGTTCTGCCACCTGCCCCACAAGTGTATAGACCCGAGTTCAATTCCTGGTACCAAAAAAAAAAGTCACATAAACCATCAGGGTATATTCAGAGGCCACTCACTGATATGTTCTTTACAATTATGAAACGCTGAAAGCAATTTAAGTGTTTACTGACACAGAGCTACTTAAAAATGTTATGAGAAAATTACATCGTACGATGCTTTCAGCTATTACAAACAATGAGGCTTTTTTTGCCATGGAAATATATCCATGATTATAACTGAAAATTTATCTCTGTAATTCCAGCACTCAAGAGGCTGAGGCAGGAGAATCACGAATTTGAGGCCAGGCTGCGCTCCGTAGTGAGACTCTGTCTCAAACAAAACAAAAACAAAAAAAGAGGAAACTGGAGATGATTTCGAGCCTACAGAAGGATGTGCATAGGTTCTGTACAAATATTTCACCTTTTTACCCAAGGGGCTTGCACATCTGTGGGTTTTGGTATCCACAGGGAGTTCTCATACCAATCCCCTTCAGATTCCAGGGAGAAATGTATTACATTATTTTTCTTTCCATAAATGTTGGGTTTTCTTCTAACTTTTTTTTTCGAGACAGGGTCTTGTTATGTAGTTCAGGCTGGCCTTGAACTCACTATGTAGCTCAGGTTAGCCTCGAACTCATGGTGATTCTCCTGCCTCAGCCTTCTGAGTGCTGGGATCACAGGCGTGTGCCACCACGACCAGCAATTCTTTCTAACTTTTCATATAAGGAAGAATACACACTGTCCATCCAGCCTTGCTCATGACTGGCTTTTCCTCTGGAGCATGCATGCTTTGCAGCCCGGAAGCAGCGGTTCTTTCTGACTCCATGTTCTCTCGGGGCTTTCTGGACACTTCCTGTCTGATCCTAGGAAGAACTGCAGTCATGCTCCCTGGGGCTGCACCCCCCCAAAGGACTCTTACCGTTCATTTTCCAATGACTTCAGAATCTCAGAACTTTGTTTCTGCCTGTGGAGAAAACCAGAAAAGGACCCTGGGGTCACGTGTGAGCAGCAGACCTGCCAGCCTCACTGCGCTGGCTGTGGCCAGGTGGGGACATCCAGACGGCCCCAGAGCTCCACGCTCTCTGGCCATTCAGCCACTCCACGTCCCAGGTTTTCTCACCTGTGAAATGGGAATAAAAATAAACAAGCAAACAAATGGCATGGGCCACCTGTAAAGGGCGACCCAGAAAATATACACAAAGTGCTTGGCACTGTAGCACTCATAGTCAGGCATGGCGGTGCACGCCTGTCATCCCAGCACTCGGGAGGCTGAGGCAGGAGGATTGCCATGAGTTCAAGGCCAGACTCAACATAGCATGAACCCTGTCTCAAAAACAAAAGCACCACCCAACACACCCTCCCTGTCCCTGACTCAGTCAGGCACTCTAACTGACAGGTGACAGAGGGCCAGGTAACCCAGGAACAGAAAGAAGGAAGCTGGAGGGACAGGGTGTGGACCTGTTTCTGGAATCTTCCAGTAAGAGCCCTAAGAGAGCCCTCCCTTGGAGTCCTCGGGCTTCTACAGCTCACTGCCTGGCCCCTCCTCCCAGCCCCGTCAGGACTCCTTAGCAGCTCCGACCTAGGGCAGAATGTGGTAAGCTAAATCTCACTCTAGGGTGAAGGGCTGACTTCGGTGAACAGGGTCAGAGCTCTCAAGTGGTGCAGCAGTGCAGGAGAGGAGACCGGAGGAGGTAGCCTCCCACGGGCCAGGCCTGGCTGGTTACTGACCTTCGGTTCTCCTGCAGCAGCTTCTGGATCCGGCTGGCGACGCTCTGCTCTGTCTCCTTCAGCTGCTCCTGCAGCCGCTGCCGCTCGGTGTCCAGGTAGCGCTGGTGCGCGCTCAGCCCCTGCTCTAGTCGAGACCGCTCCTGCGGCGGGACGCGGGTCAGAGCCGGCGGGACCCGGATGCTGGGGCCAAGGGACTGGGATCACGGGTCCCCTGTGGGACCCACCGCATCCCTCCCCGCCAGGCCTCACAGCGCTGATCTGCGCCCGAGGCTGGCGGGTGGCCTGCTCAGGCCCCCCCCCCGCTGCCCCTGCTGCCCCTGCTGCCCCCTGGTCAGTGTCAGAGGCCTCGGGGTGGCGCACACCTCCCGCAGCGTCTGCAGGACCTCGTCCTTCTGGCTGTGGCTCTGCCGCAGCAGCTGAGCATGCTCTCGCTGCCCCAGCTCCAGGCGCCGCTCAAACTCCAGTTTCTCCAGCATCTTCTGCTCCTGCGGGATGGGCCCAGAGACCCTGGTGACCCAAGGCCCCAGTGGGCGCCGGGACCCAGGGAAAGGGGTTGGGGGAGGAGTCAGTTTCTTACCTTCCTCTTCTCGAAGTCAGAGAAGCTGTTCTGGGGGGAGAAGAGACGTTAGCCAGGGAACCGGACAGCATGGTTCTCAAGGTCACTGTGTCAGGGTCCCTCGTGCCCCGGCCCACCCCGACTGCTGCATCCGAACCGAGCCTGGGTCAAAGGCCCAGGGGACCCCAGGGCTCGGTGCTGGGGAGGAGCGTGCCAAGACTGTTCTGGAAGCTGGCACTGGGCAGGCCTGGGGCCCTGAAAAGAAAACCAAGAAGCTGAGCATGGTGGGGCAAGTGTAATCCCAGCACTCTGGGAGGCTGAGGCAGGAAGGTCACAAGTCTGAATCCAGCCTGGGCAACTTAGTGACTTAGCAAGACCCTATCTCAAAATTTAAAAATGCATTTGCAGTGAGAAGAAAAGGAAGAAAAGGGGGAGGAGGTGCAGGAGGAGGAAGAAAGTAATGACAATGACAACCAAGAGGTAGGATATTTAATTGCCCTTGATGTCAATGGCAAATGCACAAAGGTGTGTGTCCAACTGGAAATACGCCAGCGTGGTGGCGCATGCCTGTCATCCCAGCACTCAGGAGGCTGAGGCTGGAGGATCACTGTGAGTTTGAGGCCAGCCTGGGCTACACAGTGAGCTCAAGGCCAGCCTGAAGTACATAGCGAGACCCTGCCTCAAACCAAAATAAGGGGCCGGGGATGTAGCTCAGTGACACAGCGCCTGCCTGGCAAGTTCGAGGCCCTGAGTTCGATTCCTGGTACCAAAAACAAAACAAAACCAAGCAAACAAACTGGAAATATCTCAAATGTCCATAACAGGTGACTGTATGAGCACATCCTGGTGCATGGAATGGGTATGGCAGATAATTTCTCATAAATTGGCAGGATTTTCCTCCTTAGGCATCTCTCCTCTCTCCAGACTCCTCTTAAATATCAGAAGGAACACAAAATCGCAGAAACATTTTCTGCAGCAGAAACAGGCAAAAGTGGCATCAGGGAACCTGATATTGATCAAAGAATCGCTGAAAAAGCTGGGTGGGCATGGGGGCACACTCCTGTAGTCCCAGCACCCGGGAGGCTGAGGCAGGAGGACCACCAAAGGTTGGAAGCCAGCCTGAGCGACATAGCGAGACCCCGGGTCAAAAACAAAACAAAATAAACAAAAGGACTCACTGAAAGATAAAACGCTGAGCCCGCAGGTGGCTGGCATGCCCCGTGACCCTGTGCCCCCCTCTCCTGTCCCTGGCAATCAGAGGCCCCTGCGTGGTGAGCCGGCCAAGCAGCCATGCAGGCGCCCGCAGATCTTTGTCGGAGTGAGCCACACGGTAATCCGCTAGAAGACGAGCAGGGCACTGTGAGGAGCAGTCACGGAAGGCCTGAGCAGCTGGTGGGTCTCAGGATGCAAGGTTTCGGCCGGGCCCCAGGGAAGGCTGGCGAGGGGAGCGCCTGACACAGTGGCTCTGACAGTGTTGCGGTGGGCCAGGGGCCGCCAGGGGAGGCCCGGGAAGCCAAGCCAGCCTGCCCTCTCACAGGATTGGGTTCTAATGGTGGAGGGATCTGGGGGCCACAGCCCTGATGCCTCCTCCTGACAGCAGCCCCAGCACATGCACAGACAGATGGACAGACGTGTGTCCCAGCAGGCAGGCTCGCCTTACCTGCCACTGGGCCTCCTCCCTCGAGAACCTGTCTGCAGGTCCATCAGGCCCGTCCCGGGCACTGTCAGCTCCATCTTGCTCCAGAACTGGCAGCAGGTACTGCGAAGGGGGGTAATATTCCAGCCCAGACTCTGCAGGACACGGGACATGGGACACACGGTGACTGGGAGGGACCCAGAGCTCCCCACCTGCCACCCTTGCTCCCTGTCCCTTCCCGGCTCGGCTGCTGCTCTGGTCCTCCCTACACCAGGCCCTCGGTGAGTCACTATCCCCTCCCCAGCCTGGGCACAGCGAGCGCTCAGGCTCGGCCCCGTTCATCTGACTGAGGGTGAGAGGGCAGCAAAGGCCAGAGATTAGCTGAGAGGCTTAGGTCTGGGATCTCGCTGTCCTAACAACTTCCTGTGTGTGCGAGGCCTGGGCCGAGCTGCTGTCCTTTGGGCCCTGGACATTTACTCCTGGGTATTGCGAAAGGGTTATGCCATATTTGTTTTCTATTGCACTGTGTGTTATTATTGATTTGTGGACACTCTTTATATATTGTAGTAAATAACCTTGGGTCTGCAATATGTATTGCAACTGTCTTCTTTTTTTTTTTGGTACTGGGGTTCGAACTCAGGACCGTGCGCTTGCGAGGCAGGTAGTGGAACCACTGAGCTAAATCCCTGGCCCTGCAACTATCTTCTTCCAGGTGGTTGTCATTTTAACTTGGGTGGTGGTGTTCAGGAAAACAACTTTCAAATTTTGGTGGATGTCACCTTCCCCACCTCTTGGAAACCCCTTTATAAACAGGCAGTTTATAAGAAATATTAAAACGAGAAAACACTAAAAGGCCCAGGTAAATGACATTAAAATAGTAATAGGCTTTGCTGTTTATCAGGTTAACTGACTTTATTTTATTATTTCTGTGTGTGGGCAATGCTGAGACAGAACCCAGGGCCTTGGACATCATAGACAAGTGCTTACCACTGAGCTACACTGAAGCCCCAGACTGGCTGACTCTGTTGTGTGTGTGTGTGTGTGTGTGGTTTTTTGAGACAGGGTCTCACTTTGTAGCCCAGGCCTCGAATGTGTGGCAGTCCTCCTGCCTCAGTGTCCCAAGCTAGCCAGGTTGTCCTCAAAGATATCCCTCAGGGAATGGGAAAAGAGGGGCTACAGCCACATACCCTCTGGCTGAGCATGCAGCTAGGTGTGGGCTGGAGGACTCACAGCGCATTTGAATGTTCACCTCAAGCAGAGTATCAACACGTATTATCTTCTGAGATGGAGTCTTTCTATGTTGCCCACAGTGGTCCCGAACTCCTGGGCTCAAGTGAGGCTCCTGGTAAGGGTTGGCACTGCAGGCATGGGCTGCATGGGCTGTCAAAAGCTGGGTTTTTGGGGCCGGGGATTTAGCTCAGTAGCACCACACATGCCTCACAAGCACGAGGTCCTGAGTTAGATCCCCAGTACCAGAAAAAAAAAAGCTGGGCTTTTAAAGTTCCTGCTGCTTCCTTTTCTTTGTTAATTCTTGGTACTGATAGTTCAGTTTTGGTCATTTTAATGGATATGTAGAAGTATCTCTCTGGAGGTTTTTTTGGAGGGGGGTCAGGATCTTCGTATGTAGTTAGGCTGGTTTAGAACTCAGTATATAGCCCAGGCTGGCCTGAAACTCCCAGTGATCCTCCTGCCTCAGCCTCCTGAGTGCTGAGATTACAGGCGTGGGCCACCAGGCCTGGCTTTGTGGTTTTAGTCTTTGTTGATTAAAATGATGCGCAGCACTTTTTTCAGACCCTAGTGGCCACCCGTACATCCTCTCATGTAAAATTCCTGTGCAGTCTCTTGTCAGTGTATGTGTGTCCTGCAGATATCCTTTCTGTCCCTAAATGGCATCTTCAGCAGATGGGAAGTTCTGATATTAATTAAATCTAATTTATCAATCTTATGGTGAAGGCTACCTGTCTCTCGTTTAAGGAAGAGGTTAGGGTTCGTTTTTAAAATTTATTTATGATTTGGTGGTGGGACCCAGGGCCTCCCACATGCTAGGCAAGCGCTCTGCCCTGAGCTACACCCTGGGCCAGAGGATCGACATTTCCCACAAGGAGACCTAACTGCTCATGATCGTTTACGCATTAAAGCAACTGCCCACTTCCGCTCCTCTCTGCAGCGGCGCCTTCGCCGTAAAGCAGAGGACAGACATGAGTCTCAGCTATGTGCCGAGAGCTCCACGGGGCACAGGATCCCTAATGGCCAACATCTCACCTGACGGGAGCTGCTCTGGGTTTTAGCTCCTAGCCCTGCCCTTCCTCCCACTCGAGTGACCATCGCCTGTCCCCTGGATGACCCCAATGGCCTCCTGTGCCCATTCGTTCTTCCCACCCTCCTGAGCCCCGTCTGTGACTCTTTCCCTGTGTGACTCCCCAAGCAGGCAGGGTGGCCTCCGCCTTTACCTCTGCAGAGGAACTGCTGAATGGCCGCAGTGCCGGCGGCACACACCTCCTGCGGCGGGAAGAGCATGGCCGAGGTGTCGAGGCTCAGCGTCTGCAGACACCAGACAGAGGCCCCGTTATGGTGGGGGTCACCACACGGTGACATGAGCAGAAGTGGCCTGACCGGATTCACGTGGGCGCTGCCTCCTGCTGCCTGGCCCCAGCTCCGGAACAGGCAGCTGACAGGCGGCAAGCACCCGGCCAGGACATTTGGGCAAATCGTAAGTGGGAGAAACAAAGTTATAGGAGCGCGGCGGGAGCATGATTCCTGCTCTGCTATCAGATAGAAGACATTTGGAGGTGAACGTGCAGCTGCTGGGGAGCTGGGCCTAAGGGCAGAAACCCCAGCCCAGGAAGCCGAATTGAAGGCAGGTGAACCCAGGCAGACTGCATGGCCGAGTGGTAGCGGCCAGCCAGGCATTAACAAGTTACAATGACATCACGTTTGGTTGCAGTAGCGACCTCTCAAGTGCCGGGTGGCCATGGGTGGCCAGTGGTCTCTACACCAATATGAAGGACAGACCATTTCCATAGAAGCAACGACGGACACTGTTGCTCTAATGACATCCAAATCCCAGCCTGGCACAGTCCTGCTGTGTATCCTTGGACAGGTCAGTGTCACACACACACACACAGTGTCACAGTGTCATGGCTTAGACCTGAGCTGTCTCTCAGGGCCTCACGTGTTCAGAGGAGGGGTTTTTTGTTTTTTTGAGACAGGGTCTGGCTATGTAGTTTGGGCTGGCCTTGAACTCACAGCGCTCCTCCTGCCTCAGCCTCCGAAATGCCAGTATTACAGGGATCCAGCACCATGCCTGGTTTCAGAGGTGGGCTTTTAGGTGATTGGACCATGAGGATGCAGTGGATAAATCCCGATGAATCCCTAGCTGAGTGCGCTGTTGGGGGGTGGGTAGTGGTGGTCACTGAGGGGCGACCTGGAAGGGTGACTCTCCCTCTCCAGCTCCTCCATTCTCCCTCTGCTTCCTGGCTGCCATGATGTAAACAGCTTTCCTCAGCCAGACCTGTCCACCATGCACATAGCATGGCTTCACTAAAACAAGCTGCTGCTGGGTTTGGGGGTGCACACCTGTGATCCCAGCACTCAGGAAGCTGAGGCAGGAGGATCGCTGTGAGTTCATGGGTATGAAATGAATAGCCACCTGGCCTTTTCGCAGTGCTGCGATTGAACATGCCAGGCATGGGGTCTACCACTGAGCCACACCCCAGCACCAGAGCACAGCACCTAAACATCTGAGGGTTGTTTCAGGATTAGGAAAGTGTGGCCGGGTGCTGTGGTGGCACATGCTGGTAATCCCAGCACTTGGGAGGCTGAGGCAGGAGGATCACTGTGAGTTTGAGGCCAGCCTTGGGTACACAGTGGGTTCAGGACAAGCCTGAACCCAAGACCTTGTCTCAAAAATCAAAAAAGGATTAGGACCGTGTGCTCTGAGCCATGCTTTCTAACCTGGCAGCAGCTCAGTAGATGTGGTTGTTTAACTACAGATTAACTAAAACTCAATAAAATCACTTAGTTCCTTGGTCACACGGGCCACATTTCAAGCACTAGAAGAGCCGCCATTGTGGCCACCAACTTGGACAGCACAGCCACTGAACATCCCCATCACCCCAGGACTTCTTGTGGACAGCACAGGGGATGAACCCACGTGGCCTGCTGTGGCCTCCCTGGTCATGTGTGCTCCGAGAGACTGGCACCCGGCTGGGCGGCACCAGCCACTGAGGATGGACACGTCCCCGGCAGTCTGGTTGAGAGGAAACCACTGACAGAACTGGGGCTCCAGAACCCTGGGCCACACTGCTGTCACCACCAGACGCCAAGGTGCAGAGGCAAATGGCATGGGTGCTGGGTCCAGACGGACTCGTCCACAGCCCATCTCTCGCTAACTTGTGGCCATAGTGTGGGCTCCATAAAATGCCTGTGCCTCAGTTTCTCCATTCGCAAGGTGGCATGACAGTATTGCCTCACAGGACTTGGAGGAAGACTGAGAGCTAACACGGCTCACATGCCTGGCCTTGCAGAGTGCCAGGTAACTGTGAAGCCATCCTGCCATGACTGGGACAGCCCACTGTCCTCGAGGGGGCTGCCCTGTGCCAGTGTCTGATATGGGATGTCCCCTTCCCTAAATCTATATGCTAAGGTCCTAACCCTGTATCTCAGGACGGGACTGTGTTTGGAGACAGGCTAGGCCCTAATCCCATAGGACTGGTGTCCTGTTCTTTCTCTTTTTTCTTTTGTGTGGGTGTGTTCTGAGACAAGGTCTCGCTATGTGACCTTGAACTCAGCATTCCGCTGCCTCAGCCTCCTGAGTCCTGGGATTATGGGCGGGCGAGTGTGACACCAGGCCAGGCTGCGCCACAGCTTGCATCAAGCTCAACCCCTCCACACTCAGCGTCTGCTCTTCTCCACTGTAGATGTCCGGCAGCCAGAGTGATGCTGCTGCATGAAGTCAGACCCTGGTCTCTGCGGGATCCTAAGCACCACGCCTCGGGGCCCCTGGGACTGGGCACCCCTTGAGGCATGGGGGGTGCAGAGAAGGCCCAGGCGAGAGCGGCGCCACTGACCTCCAGCGTCCGGACGTGAGCCAGCATCTGCGGCAGCCTCTGAACCCCATTCTCGCTGATGTCGAGGGTGCGCAGGCTTCGGAGCTCCCCCAGGGTGTCGGGCAGCTCCTTCAGCCTGTTGTCTGGAGAGACCAATGACAGAGCTCAGCGCCCCAAACCTGGCCCTGCTTCCTGTCCAATATCTTCAGGACTCAGGGGGCTAGAGACAAGCAGCAGCTGCTGGATGACTTTGGACAACTGACTAGGCCTCCTGGGCCCCAGCTTCCTCATCTGGAAGCTGGGGTCAACCCTGCTGCCCTCCACCTGCTTCGCACCCTGCTGGCCACTCATTGAGTGTGCCGTCACTCAGGACGCTGGCTGGGTGGGCTCCACCACGGCTCTCGCCCCGTCAGTGCACTCTTCCCATCCCTGTGATCACAAACACAAGTGACCGTGACCGAGTCTTGGCCGGGCTGTGACTGGCAATACCTCCCCGCCAAGGGGTCCCAGGAACCCTGGTTACCATGGAGACAGACGGTCCTAGTTCCAGGGTCACCCTCATGCCTGATGGCGCCCAGGCAGGCACCCTGTGGATGGGGCTGGGACAGCCCAGAGCTCGCCAGGGTCTCAAGGACAGGGCTTCCCGGCCACCTACCTTTCACGTTGAGGGTCTGGAGCTGGGCCAGGTTCCCAGTGGAGTTGGGGAGATGTGTCAGTAGATTTCTTTCCACATTCAACACCTAGGAAAGAGCAGGAAGTGACATGAGAGCCACACACAGACAGCAGTGACTCCATTGCTCCCTCCCCACTGCCCTGGGCCAGGTGCCACCTGGGCACTGCACACAGTGGCCTTTCTTCCCCTCATCAGCCCTGTGAGGAAGGGACAGATTGGGGTTTGAAACCAGGGCCTTTGAAATGGGGTACATTCCCAGCTCTTGTTGTGTTTTACTATGAGACAGGGTCTCACTACTTCACTAAGTGGCCCAGGCTGGGCCCAAACTTGTGAACCTCCCGCCTCAGCCTCCCAGAGGGCTGGGATTACAGGGGTGTGCCACCAGGCCCAATGGAGGAAGGTATAGCTTGTTATGAGCCCATTTGGGAGACGAGGAGGAAGAAGGGGCCAGTGGAGCCAGGGGCCAGGCGGGCAGCGCAGTCAGGCTCTGACTCAGGCTCAGAGGAGCCCCAAGGTCACAGTCCCACTGGGATGTGGCACTACAGAGGGAGTGAGGCCAGCAGGAAGCCACACTGAGCAGCCATTAAAACTGATATAGGTCCGGGATTTAGCTCAGTGGCAACACCCCTGCCTCGAAAGCGAGAGGTTCTGAGTTCGATCCCCAGTACCAAAAAAAAAAATATTGATATATTCTCATTGGCACCGTGCCTGCCTCACAAGTGCAAGGTCCTGAGTCCTGAGTTGATATAAAGGGAAGCTAAGTGGCCATTAAACATAATGCCAGGCAAATTTTTTTTTTTTTTTTTTTTTAGTACTGGAGATCAAACTCGGGTCCTTGAGCTTGTGCAGCAGGCGGTGAAACCACTGAGCTAAATCCTCGGCCATGCCAGGTAAATATTTGATGAACTAAAGATTGCTACCATTTATTGTCAGATATCCACAAGTCACAAAACAGCAAAGGTAGCAATGCTAGGAACATACACATACGTTTACAGCATCCCCCGAGACCCTAAACCAAAGTGTGTATCTGGCTTAAAGTGGGGACAGTCACTACTGTTCTGCTTTCTATGTGACCTTGGCCAAGGGACAGCCATCTCTCTGACCTTGGTTTTCCTTAAAATGTGATAGCATCTCTGGGTGTGGTGCCCACCTGTAATCCCAGCAGTCAGGAGTGAGGCAGAACTGCTGCAAGTTCAAGGCCACCCTGGGCTACATAGTGAGTTCAAGGCCTGCTTTGATTATAAATCGAGACCCTGTTTCACCCCCTCCCCAATTAATAACTATAGACCGCAATTAGCACTCTTAGGAAATAAGCAAGGTGGAGACAGAGACAGATAGGGGGATCCACTGAGGGAAGACAGAGAGGATCTGGAGGGACAGCTGGGCTCAGAGGTGAAGGATGCGTCCCACACAGCCCCAGAAAGCCACCCCAGCAGAAGGGAGGGCTGCCAGGAGAGGCCTGGCTGGGGCAGGGACAGAGGACAGAGGGTTTTAGGAGATGACCACAGATCCATCACATGAGGTCTTTTTTTTTTTTTTTCTTTTCCTTTCTGGAGCTAGGACAGAACCCAGGGCCTGGTACCTGCAAAGCTGATGCTCCAGCCACATGCCAATGTATGGGGCCCTTCTGGGTCCTAGTGGCTTTTTTTGGTTTTTTTTTTTTGAGACAGGGTCTTGCTATGTAGTTCAGGCTAGCCTTGAACTTCCTATGTATCCCAGGCTGGCCTTGAACTTGCAGTGATCCTCCTGCCTCAGCCTCCCCAGAGCTGAGATTACAAGTGTGCGCCACCATGCCCGGCTTTTCTGGGTCCTAGTGAGGGAAGAAGCTTTTCGATCTAAGGGCTACAGAAGACTCCTTTCCTGTAGAACAGGGGCAATACTAACACCAGCTTCACAGGATGACTGGAAGGTACCTGCAGGTTGTGCCAGGCCAGGCTTAGCTCAAGGCTGGCACAAAGTGGGCACTTTGCCAATGCAGAGCTGCTGCCAGCCAGTTCGGGGGCCCATCTTTTCTTTTGGTACCGGAGAGCCAACTCAGGACCTTGCGCTTATGAGGCAGGCAGGGCACCACTGAGCTAAATCCCCAGCCCCCCAGCATTTTTAAGATGCAGAGTCACGGGGTGCCTTTTACTGTGAAGCTTCCGAGGCTGCTGCTGAAGTCCCCAAAAAGCACAAGTCAACAATGTGGGGGTGCCACCCCCACTGCAGTGGGAGGGCAGAGCACAAACAGACACCTGCCGGGAGAGGGCGCTCCTGTCCTGTTGCCTCACCTGCAGGGCGGTCAGCTGCCCCAAGCTGTCAGGGAGGGCTGTCAGCTGATTGTCGTGCAGATCCAGGACCTGCAGAAGGAAGACACTTGTCAACCACCCACTGAGCAGCAGGGGGTGACAGGGGCCGCTTCATGCCAGCCTCGTGCCCACCCCTTCCTCTCCCTCTAAATGCTTGGCATTCCCACCTCATTTTCTTTTCCAGACTATTACACCATTTCTTTCTTTTATTTATCAAATATTTATTTTTCACTGTTAAACAAAAATGTTACAAAACTGTCCGTATGCTAAAAAGAAAAATAAGCCAAGTGTGGTGGTGCACAGCTGTAATCCCAGTACTCAAGAGGCTGAGGCAGGAAGATCTCTGTGAGTTGGAGGCCAGCCTGAGCTACAGAGTGAGTTCAAGGTCAGCCTGAACTACATAGTGAGATCCTGTCTCAAAAGAAAAAAGCAAAAGAAAAAAGAAAAAAGAAAAACATCCTATAGCTTCAGTATATATTTGCATTGGAAAAAACCCACAAAATATTTGATAAAATATTGACAGTGATTCTCCAGAGTATGAAATATACGCCCCCTTCTTTTCTCTTTCCTTTTTGCTCCTCTGGGACACAAACCCAGGGCCCTGCTCAGGTCAGGCAAGTGCTCTATAACTGAATAACACCCCCTGCCTCCCTTCTCCCTTCTTTGCTTAACTATATTTTTAAAAAATGTTTTTCAGGCTGGGCATGGTGGCTCACCCCTGTAATCTCAGCACTTGGGAGGCTGAGGCAGGAGGATCACTGTGAGTTTCAGGCCAGCCTGGGCTACACAGTGAGTTCAGGGCCATCCTGAGCTACATAGTGAGACCCTGTCTCAAAAAGCAAAACAAAAAAAAATTTTTTTTTTCAGTACTGGGATTGAACCCAGTACCTCTGTACTGAGCTGCATCCCCAGCTCTTTTTCACTTTTCATTTTTGGACAGGATCTTCCTAAGTTGTCCAAGCTGGGCTTGAACTTGTGACCCTCCTGCCTCAGCCTCCTTGAGGGTGGGATTATAGGTCTAGCCATTTTCTAGTATTTATTTATTTATTTTTTGGTACTGGGGATGGAACTCAGGACCTTGTGCTTTCGAGGCAGGTGTGGTGCCACTGAGCTAAAATCCCCGGCCCTTAATATTTTTTAAACAACAAAAATGAGCACAAAAGGCATGGGATATATATATATATATACACATATATATACATATATATGTGTATATATATATTTATATATATACACACACACACAAACACATATATACAGACACACATATATATACATGCTAAATATATACATATACACACAAACACAGAACATATACATAAAATTTAATATATATATGTAATTTTTTTTAAAGACAGGGTCTTGCTATGTATCCTCCTGCCTCAGCTTCCTGAGTTCTGGGATTACAGCCCTGTGCCACCATGGCTGGCTTAAAAAATGGATTTTAAATGTTCTCTTTTCTTTCAATGTGAAAATACTGCATGGGCTGGGGATGTTGCTCAGGGCTAAAGTGCATGCTTACCATGGGTGAGGCCCTGGGTATCATTCCCAGTGCCAAACAAATAAAGCCCATTGAACCAAAACCATAAAGAGCAAGCCCTGCAGCCAGAGCTCCCCATGGAGAGCCTAACTAGGCCATGAGTCTTTACTCATGTCCCCACTCACAGGCCCCACTGGTGCAGAACAACCCTGGAGTGACATCTTGCACACAATGTGACTGTGCCCAGCCTGTCCTGAGGGGCCCAGCTCAAGTCAGAGTCCTCCCAGGTCGCACATTTGGTCAGGGACCCTCCTGCCCTTGCTTAGGACCACTCTTTCCCTGCTGTGGGCTGCCTTAGCAGCCATGAGTTTAGGATTTTCTTTCCACCCGTCGTGGAAACCACCAAGTGGGCACATGCGCAGCACGCAGAGGCACTCAGTACGCCATGCTGATCAAATCCCAGCCTGATGCTTCCATTCCAGCCCACCTGGCACAGGCCAAGGAGATCCGAAGGGAGGGGGGCCCGGCTGCCACCTGAGAGACCACACAGAGTCCTCGCCACCTGGAGGGAGCCCAGTACCTTGATGGTTGCCAGGCTCAGGAGGCTGCAGGATTTGGGCAGCAGGGAGGTGAGCTGGTTTGTATGCACAATCAACACCTGGGCGGCAAAGATGGAGGCAAAGTTAGACTGCGGAAGAGGGCAGGCAGGGAAGGCCAGAGACGAGGCAGCAGCCTTGCAGTGCCCGGGGCATCATCTCTCATCTCTACTGGCCAGACATGCAACCGGGGGCCGCTGGGGAAAGTCATGAAACTTCTGAATGTAGAATCAGATGACCTTAAGATCTGGAATTTCAAAGATTAAAGGGATCCTAGAGGTCTAATTTTACCTTTCATCCTAAGAAAAGATCAGCCTTTTTTTATTTTAAAGATAGGATCTCGCTATATAGTTCAGGCTGGCCTTGAACTCACTCTGTAGCCCAGACTGGCCTCCAACTTGCAGTGGTCCTCCTGCCTCGCCTCCTGAGTGTTGGGATTACAGGTGTGTACAACTACACTTGGCCAGGTGTCCTGATCTTAACCTTCCTCAGCCTCAGTGTCATCTTGAAAAATAGAGAATAATGAAATATCTGCCTCTGAGTGCTGTGAAGATGATTAAACAAGCTAATGGACAAAGTGTCCTTAGCCCAGGGCTAGGATATGATCCAGTGACCAACCTATGTGGTCCATTGCTATCCTGTTAGGTACTGATTGCTGCTTTAATACTTCTGGGATGAGGAGCTCACTACACTGTTGCTATGGAATCCTTCTCACCTGTCTGCATCTAGAGGCTTCACTAAGTGTACACAAACCCACAGCACCCAAAGATGCAAGGGCTACACTGCTCTTCTGGAAATGTCCTTCATTCCCCTTCTCATCTCCAGAGCCATCACAGTGAAATGAGCGCAGTTTCTATTACCACTCCTGCTGGGGTAAATAAGCGTTTGCTATGGGGTCCGCATCATATCCCTCTGTCTCCATCACTCGTTAGAGTTAAAGACGTTGCCCAACTCCGGAAGCCAGTGAAGGGCAGACCCAAGAGGGACCCCGGGCTCTCCCTGCCCCAGGCTGCTCTCCGACTTGTCCAGGCCAGGTGTGGGCTGACAGGGTGACAGCCAGAGAGAGGGGAGGAGGCTGAGGTGGGAAGAGAGCTCCTGCCGTCCCCATGTGTTTTCATTCCTTTTTTTTTGGAACCAGGGATTGAACTCAGGACCTTGTGCTTGCAAGGCAGGAGCGGTGCCACTGAACTAAATCCCCAGGCCCATGTGTTTTAGATGTGCAACTCTCTGCATGTGGAGACTCGGCTCACCTTCTTCTGGAGAACTTTGCATGTTGCAAAAGCCCCAAATGGAATCTAGGAGAAGAGAGAGAAGAATCAGTAGCTCATCTCCTGCTGGTCTTTACTTTGTTCTGTGCATGGCACCCATGTGAGAGAGCTGGGCAGGGGGAGGAGGGCCGAGCACCGACCGATGGGGAGAGCACTCAGTCCAGAAGGGGTGCGGAGTGGAGCAGGGCATGTGCTCCTGCAGGGGATGCAGAATCCTCCCTCTTCCGGCACCCCAGGAATCTCGGGGTACATTTTCTATTTTTTTTTTTTTTGGTACTGGGGGTCGAACTCTGGACTTTGCACTTGTGAGGCAGGTGGCGGAACCACTGAGCTAAATCCCAGCCCTCTGGGTACGTTTTCTAATGAGCCTCTTGGAGCTTATGTTGAGGCCAAAAGATCATCTCAATTCCTTTAGACAAGAAAGGATTCTGAGGAAACATCTCTTGACAAGTACTTCTGGCTTTTTTAAAGCCCCAGTCCACATGCATCATTCCTGGGGACATTCGATCTAGGAAAACAGGAAAGATCAATTTCACAGCCCATACAAAGCCCTTAGTTTACCTCTGTGAGCTCACATTTAGAGATATCAAGAATGTCATCTGCTCCTGCTTCTTTTGCCTAAGGAAAAAAAGAATGGGTCTATTTATATTTATTGCATAGTTCTGGGGACAGAACCAGGGCCCTGAGCAAGCTAGGCAAGAAATCTACCATTGAGCTACACTCCTAGCCCTGAGAACTTTTTTTTAATTGTTCAAACAAAACATCATGGAGTGGACAAACCAGGCAAAGAAACACTGAATTAAGGAGTGACGAGGGACCACAGGCACTGCGTGGTTTCCCTAGTCCATCCTGTGGCTGACCCCTGCTTTCCTGGAGCCTGAGGTCTGGCAAGGGGGAGAACCCAGCCAGTAAGGATGAGTACACTCAGCTAGGAGGCGACTGGCACTTGGCAAAGGGAAGGGAAGACAGGTGGAAGTGAGCACGCGGCAGTGTGGAGCTCTATTACACGGGGCAGAGGGGGAGCTGGGAAAGGGCCGGGGAAACCCACTTCCCCTCACCAGACACATCTGGTACTCCAGGCGTTTCCGAGCCTCTTCACTGGGTTTCCGCTTCCGGAAGAAAAGAGGCATCCTTCCTTTTTTCCAGAGTGATTTTCAGGACTCTGTGGCACAGGAGAGAAGTTAGCACCTGGGGATTTGTGACAGGCCTGACACCCAGGACAGGAAGCACAGTAACACTGGGCCTGCAGCTGGTCTTCTGGACAGTGAGCCCCGTGCAGGTTATGCCTGGCCCATCAGCGTCCCAGGCTCCACACAGCATGCTCGCTACTCTGTTCTGTGTTGATGCAACAATACACAGTAGGACAGGGTGGAAGGAGCACAAAGGCAGGCCAGGTGCCCTGGGCTTGGGCCCACATTGACCCACTGGGAGACCCTGGCATTACCCTTTCCTGTTCTGGGTCCCAATTCTCCTCCACCTCAGGGACATTTCCTCAGCTGCTTTCCAAGGATGCTTCCTAACTCTCAGCTTCTTGGTCACTTTGAGCCCCTGCAACACTGTCACAGCAGCACCAGCCAGCCATGACTTGGGAAGCTCAATTACATCATACCCAAAGAGATCTATGAGTTAACTGAAAATTAAAAAGCAATCCTCGGGCATTTACCATCCTCATGGTTATTATTCCATTTGCTTCTCACCACAGCCGTGTTTCGAGTTGAGAAACTGACACCATTAAGCTCAGTGATCTGGTTATACAGCTTGAATTGCAGCAAAATCACCCTGGAACCCTCGTCTTTCAAGTCCTGATCCTGTGCAGTTTGCCCAACTCCTTGGTACTCAAATAACTTAGCACACACTAAGTACACCGTCTTGAAATCAGAAGCCAGGTGCCCACTGCCTGCCCAGGACCTACTGGTATCTGCAATGATGTGTCCTCGATAAATGACAATAATGAGATAAAAAACTACCATCTAGCATGGTTTAAGTCCAAGATGTGCCACCCATCAATTGTCACTTCTGTTCCCCTCTGAGCCTGTTTCCTCAACTGGAAAGTGTAACATTAGGTTCTGTGAGAATCCAATGGTTTCACGAATGTGAAGCCCACAACACAATCCTGGCCCATATGAATGCTCAATAAATGGAAGCTACAAAGCACTGCACAAGTGACAAACGCTGATTCAGGGACTAACTACCACAGAAACTAGGGAGAAGAGAGAAGTGGTTGAAGACACACACAGGTCCTTAGGAGGATGCGTAGAGCTCACAGGGGCATAGGCTATCTGGAGAGGCTGCCAGGCCTGCAGAGCCTGCTCAGGGCATGCAGGTCACCCACCTGCCTGCAGGGGTGTGGAATAGCTTCCCTGACCACTCCTTGATGACAGTGCTTAAAACGACCGGCCCTCCTTCACCCCCTTCCTGATGTTCAGCCCTCCCACCTCTTCCCCAGTGACTGTGGCGCTCCCATCCCTCCCAATCAGCTCTTTGCAATTTGCCTTCCGATGTCCATCCCTCATTCATTCCCTTCCCTGATGTGCAGCCCAGATGGGGAGAATCACACCCATCCTTCCCTGGCCGAGCTGGGCAGTGGTGGACCTGGCTATATGGACGGTGAGGTCCTGGACGTTTGGACCTTCGGGTGGACCCAAAGGCAGGCTGGTCACTCAGAGGGCTTGGTCATGGGCGCAGGATCGCTGACTCCCGGCACCGGGCCAGCGGGGCTGAAGTCTCGTCCCCAGACGCAGGAGCTGGGACCGAAACTCACAATCTCAAAAAGTCATGCAAACCAGGACCACGAAGTCTGAGACTCTGGGTACCGAGGAATCGCAGAATTAAGAGTTGGACTGGATTTAGACCCGAGTAGATTACTTGGATAACTAAAATTCACACATCACCAAGAGGTTAGAAGGGGACTGTAGTTGCCAAACACTGACGTCTTGGAGTGGGGTTGCGGTCCCCTCAAGGGATGGGCGGGGCTATGGGATTGGGTGCCTGGGACCCCGAAGTGACTCTCTAGATAAGGGAACATAGGGATCAGCAGGGTCCAGGATCTCAGAAGCTCCCTTTTCTCTGATGCTCCCTGAGCTAAACGTCCTGAACGCCCTTTCCGAACCCCTAGCCCCAGCTCACCGCGGTACCTGACTTCCAAGCGGCTAGTTTCAGGCAACTGCCCACAAGAAACATGGCGATAAGGGCGTCGCCCAGAGGGTGGGCGGAGCCGGTAGTTCTCGCGAGAGTGGTGCTTTCCTGACTATATCCGGCGTGGTCGAGAGACGTCCGGTCTTTCGGCTTTCGGGTAGGAGGAGGCTACGGTGTAACTTTCTTCGGTCGTCCCGAATCCGGGTTCATCCGACACCAGCCGCCTCCACCATGCCGCCCAAGTTCGACCCCAACGAGGTCAAAGTCGGTGCGTTCCCTAGTTGCAGCCTGGGCTGCGGATGGAGCTTCCCTCCTTCCTGCGGCCCCCGCCTCGTGTCTTTCCCGTAACGTACCGGGCTCAAGGGCCGCGCTTCCTAGAAGCCTTCCGGCGCTGTGTGGCCGGACAGGGCTTTCTCCTTTTCCGGGCCTCAGCTGCCCCACGTGTAAATGGGGAGGGAGGACCGCACGCCTTAGGGTAAGGCTCGTACCTGCAGGCTTGCGCCTCCCGGCCTTGGCTTGGTGCTGCTTGAAGCGTTGGCTGGTTCGGGCAGGGGACTGCGGCCCCGATCCCCACCGCAGAGGCACTAACCTTTTCTTTATCCCAGTGTATCTGAGGTGCACCGGTGGCGAAGTCGGCGCTACGTCTGCCCTGGCCCCAAAGATCGGCCCACTGGGTCTGGTAAGTAATCCCGCCGAGGATCATTACTTTCCCTGCGTGAATGCAGAGTTCAGCTCTGGTTTGTGCAAACACGACCGTGTCCGAATATTAGGCCTCGAGCCATTGACCTGGCACTAGGCACCATACAACGGTCACGCGTGAAAAGCGAGACTCGGGCTGGGGATTTAGCTCAGTGGTGCCGCCGCCTGCCTCGCAAGCGCAAGGTCTCAGGTTCGATCCCCGGTACCAAAAAAATTTTTTAAAAACGGGACTCAGAACTTGACGTTGTAACTTATTAAACTGCTGCTTTTGGCTTTAGTGCTACTGAGGGATGTGAGGGCTCTGGAGTAAGGAGGGGCTTGGGCTTAGTGACAGTGGGCCTACCGCTGCTGGGCTTCTTCACTGGTTGGGGAGATGAGCCCGGCACCTTTGGGTAAAGTGGGGTGGGGGTTCTGGCAGCCATAGCAGCTTGTGTTTCCAAAGCCCAACCTGGTGGGTGCTTGTGTCCACCTCTACCTGATCCTCATGGGTCACCAGCCTCGCATGCCTGCTTCCCCATTTTAAACTGCATGGCCCTAATGCCCATGGATTTCACTTCTTAGACAGTGGTCCCGTTCCCAGTTTGTTTTCCCTTTGCCAGTCATTGTCTTGGTCTGCTCCTTTGGCCCTTAGTTCGGCTGTCATCAAGGAGGGACGCTGTTTTTAGGCTCACTAGAGTAGGAAATACTCAGATCTCTGTTCTACGTGCAAACTTGGATTGGTCTGATGGGGGAACCTGGTATCATTAAAAGCCCCCTTGATGAACCTAGGGTAGCTGGGGTTGAAAACTTACTGCAAAGGTCCTTAGGAGGAAGAGACTTGGGACACACTGTGGCCCTGACCCTGCTGTTTACAGTGCTGGACAAGACCTAACCCTCCAGCTTCATTTTCCTGTTTACTAAGGTGGTACTGGTGCCTCAGTTAACTAGGTACCTGTAGGTGCTCCAGTGGCTCTTTGGGCACAGTGGTTACATGCCTTTATTTCTACAGTCTCCGAAAAAGGTGGGTGATGATATCGCCAAGGCAACTGGTGACTGGAAGGGTCTGAGGATTACGGTGAAGCTGACAATTCAGAACAGACAGGCCCAGGTATGTGCTGCTTGGGCTCAGTTTGAGGACCTTGGATGGAAGGGTCTCGCTGCCCGAGGGGAAGTGGTGGGAAGGCTTTGTGCAGAGCAGGGACCTGGGTCAAATGAAGGCATAGGTTCAGATACCAACCCCTTACATGTGTGTGGGCACTTAACATCACCAGGGGTGGGATGAGTTCAGGATCGTGTACAGAAAGCTGAGTGTCTGTCCCCTGGTCCCTGAGGTCTTGCTCCAGTGCCGGCCTTGCTTGACCTTCCGTGGCAGTGCTGTTCACCTGAGGTGGGGTGGACTTACATCATCAAAATCTCTTCTGCAGATTGAGGTGGTGCCTTCTGCCTCTGCCCTGATCATCAAAGCCCTCAAGGAGCCACCAAGAGACAGAAAGAAGCAGAAAAACAGTGAGTTGGCTTTTCCCTGGGTTGCTTTCAGAGTGGTTTGTGACAGTGTTGTACACTATTTCACTTTGATGAAACTTGGGGTGGGTGTAAAAGTGCCATGTGCCATTCCCCAGTCCTGTGGGGCAGGTCCTGTTCAGTGCCTGCAAGGGTGAAACAGGCAGAGAGAAGCACCTGAGAATGAATGGTGGTGACTTGCAATCAGGAGGCCACTTAGGTCTGGCCAATACACTGGGTGCTTAACCATGGTTGTTTTGTTTTTGTTTTTTGCTACTGGGGATCAAACTTGGGACCTTTCGGTTGTGAGGCAGGTGCTAGAACCACTGAGCTAAATCCCCAGCCCATAACCACGGTAATTTTAAGATAGTGGTTTAAAAAAACAGGTTCTGGGCCAGGGATTTAGCTCAGTGGTTTCACCGCCTGCCTTGCCAAGCGCAAGGACCTGACTTTGATCCCCGGTACCAAAAAAACAAAAAACAGGTTCCTTCCATGTAGATTGGTGGCATCCTGATGGAAGTCTTGGTTTCCCTTAGCCACCCGCCACTGCACCTGACCAGTTCTCTGTTGGCTGGTGCAATCCAGTGGTGAGCTGATAGTGACCCCAGCTAAGGAAACAGGGTTGCTCTCCATGTGGGCGACTCTGTGCCGAAAGCATGGGAACAGCCCAGAAGTAGGTGGAACACCATGCTTTGTGGTCTCCTGGCCTCGGATTGTGACAAAATCTTTACTGTTTTTTTTCCATTCTACAGTTAAACACAGTGGAAATATCACTTTTGATGAGATTGTCAACATTGCCCGACAGATGCGGCATCGGTCATTAGCCAGAGAACTTTCTGGTAAGAGCAGGCGATGTTTGACCGCCTTCACTGATGTGTGGGGTGTTTTCTGTTAGTGGGCAGCATTCTTTTCCCTTGGTGGGCCCTTAATAAGGCCCAAGTTTTCTGAGTTTGAAAGGAGGACCTGGGATAGTCTTACATTTGGATTATGGATGGTGGGGGGTGTTGGTCCAGTCTTGTCTGCTATGAAACTCAGAAATTTCCCAATCCACCTGAGGATTGTGGGGAGTCTAGGAAGAGCCCCACTGGTGTACCTCTAATTGTAGGAACCATTAAAGAGATCCTGGGGACCGCCCAGTCTGTGGGCTGCAATGTGGATGGCCGGCACCCTCATGATATCATAGATGACATCAACACTGGTACTGTGGAGTGCCCAGCTGTAAGTGACTGGAGGCTTCTGCTTGCTTATGTGAGAGGGTTCAAGGCCCAAGGGGGCAACTAATGCATTCATGGAGATGACCAAGGGTGGGTGGGTGCAGACTTGGTCTTTTACTAATGGGATTTTTTTTCTTCCACAGAGCTGAGTAAGAAGCCTAAGAAAGAAAATATTCAAATAAAAAGGTGATCTGACAACCAGTGGTCTGCTTTGAGAGAACTGGCTCCTTGTAGGGTGGTTAGTGGGGCCATGGTGGCAGGACCAGTAACATCCTGGTGGGTGACATTCTTCTCTGCGTGGGCTGAACTTGGGAAGGAAATCTTGAATATTCTTAGCCAGAAAGAAAACCTAGGAAAAGCAGCCCTCCAATTTGGCAGCCCAGGACACAAAGTGAATATAGCCAGGGCTCGGAAACACCAAGAACCTGACCAATGCCAGTGTCCTGTGAGAGTCATTTGATGTGACAACTGTAGCCCCCTCTGCAGTGGCTCACTTCCTAGTGCTGAGCTTCACCTTAAATGTTCTGTTCCTTCAACCCTGTTCATCACCCTCCTTTTAAGACACGTGGCACCGGGGCAGACTGGAACAGCTGGAAGTGCTTTCAGCAAGGGCTTTTGGGTTCCAGAAAGGACTCAGCTCTCATTTTGCCAGTGGTCCTTTCTAATCATCCTAAGGACTGACTTGGGTGGTTGAAGGAAATAAGCACTCATGCCCTAGAAGGTACATACATGTAAGGAGTCATCCAGAAACAAGCTAGGGCCACCCAAGCCATGCACTGCAAGTGCAACTTTAGAGAAAGCCTGTGACAAACAGGAGGCACAAGGCATTCAGTGTCACTAAGTACGTGAGACAGGTCCATGGGAGAAGGCAGACCAGAAATCTGGACCCAAGGGATGTTGTGGCCTTTTGATCTCCATTTTTGCTTCTTTCTATTTCAGCCTGCATAAAAAAGGCATGCCTCCTGATGTGGGGGCCGCTTGTAACCCACCCTTTTATGGTTAGCCAAGGGATCTCTTGTCACCTGTACCCTTCATTTCTGGACTGATCAGGTTCCCTAGATCTTGCTGCTGCCTATGACAGTTAAAACAGGTGCTTCTGCCTGAGACTGGCTACAGGCTTCTGTATGCTATCGTGCACATTGATTCGGGATCCCTGCCTGCATTAAGCGTTGGTGCCTCTGGGCCTGTTGCTTGTCCTGGGTCCCCAGCTACTCTCCAGCGTGCGGTCTGGTGGTGGATGAAGGCCGAGCTGCACCGGAAGGCTGCCTGCACTCCGTGCACTCACAGGGCTTCACATTGCTGTGGATCTGCTGATGCTGAGGGAAGATCTCTGGTTAAACGCCTTCCCACACTCGCTGCACTCAGGGCTTCTCTCCTATGCGGATGATGTGATGCCAGATGAGCGCTGAGCTCTCGCCGAAGACCTTCCCACACTCAGACCTTCCCACAGTCGTCACACTGATACGGCTTCTCCCTGGTGTGTGTCTTCTGGTGGATGGTGAGACTGGTGCTCTGGCTGAAGGCCTTGCTGCAATGGCTGCACGCATAGGGCTCCCCGGTGCGTGTGCACCAGTGTTGGGAGGTTCTGTGTTCTGGCTGAAGGCCCGCCCGCAATCACAGGGCTTCTCCTGGGTGTGGCTCTTCTGATGCTGAGAAAGGGAGGAGCAGTAGCTGAAGGCTTTGCACTCGCTACACATGAACGGCTTCGTTCTGCGCCATGTAACGACTGCAGAGTTCTGGGAGTGCTCGGAGCGTGTCTCACACAGGCCAGGCCCTGCTCCTGGAGGGGCCCTCTGTTCAGAAAGGGCTGGCCTCAAACTGGTCCCCTGCTACAGCTCCCCGGGGAGCACCTCACAAAAGGGTGTGCCCCGCTGGCCAGGCAGGGCCAGTCTTCCAGGCTGGAAAAGTCAGAAAAGCAGCTGTGCTGGGTTCCCTTGGGAACAGGTACACGAGAGGCTTAGGAGTCTGGCCAGGCCCTGACAGGGACAGATGCGGTGACTCCTCCCATCCAGGACGCAGCTGTGTCAGAGGGCTTTTCAGAGACTTGGGTCGTGCTGCCACAGCCCCTTTTCTCCTCCTGAACTCAAGGGGAAGAAGTAGAGACTGCCCCTCCTGCCCCAGGAAGAAGGTTCCTGACACTCCTACTCCTCTGCTCTTGCCAGCTCTTGGGCTGTCTTGGATCTTCTGAGTCTCACAATTCTTGCTGGTGGTTTGAAGCAATCTACTTACTAGATTTAAATAACTTACAAAGCTGCTCACTAGCTGGGTACAGTGGCTCAAGTTTGGAATCCCAGCACTTAGGGAGGCTGAGATAGGAAGATTCCAAGTTCAAGTCCTGCCTGGGCAACTTAGACCCTGGCTTCCTGCTGGGGCTGGGGATATAGCTCAGTGGTAGAGTGCTCCTGGGTTTGAACCCCAGTACCACTAAAAAAGACCAAAAATCAAAACAACCAAACAAAAAAACAACAGATGACCGATGCCAAATAAGATGAAATTTTTTCATCACCAAATCCGGCAGATTTCAAAGGTGGTTATCTGGAGAGGGTTGGTGAGCATGCTGCATGAGAGGCTTGCTCATGCACTGCAGTGCTTGTGCAGATGGGCAAAGGTGGCACCTGAGATCCTCAGCAGGGACTCTAAGCAGGCAATGTGCCAGGCCGCGAGGATGACCTGGTCATTCCACACCTGCCGCACACCTCGGGGTGGGGCTAAGGAGCAGTGAGTGAGCCTTGGTTCACTCCCAGCCTCGTGCTACTTGCCAGCTTTGAGTCTCTCAACTATAGAGTTAACTCAGCTTGATTTCCCCATCAGTAAAATGTGTATAATAGTACCTACCTGGCAGGGTTGTTAGAATAATCTGTCACAGTACTGTGTGTGTTAGAAGGGCTCTGGCTCTAAAGCTTACTGGCTTATTGCTTGTTTACCTGGACAGGTGCTGCTTACATCATCTCCCTCTGACATCCAGGTGCCTTGCCTTTGTTCCGACTGAAAGCTCATGCCAGGCCGGGACACTGGAAGTCCTAGTCAAGAGGAAAAAACAAGATTTTGAGACTGGACGCAGCGTAGTCAGCCAGAACTCAGGAGGACACAGGCCAGTTAGGTCACCCACTGCACTCAGCCAGTACTTGTTGAGCACACACTTGGTGCAGGGCTAAGAGATACAGCAGGAAGACAGGTTTGCCAAGGTCTCAGTGAAGCATTTCCGGAAGGAGCTTCTGTGTGCCTAAAACTGTAGTGATAAAACACTGTCTCTTATCTAAACATGTCCACCATCCTGGTAGACTTTAAATAGTACATGTATGAGCCGGGGATTTAGCTCAGTGATTCCACCGCCTGTCTTGCAAGCTCAAGGTCCTGAGTTCGATCTCTGGTACCAAAAAAAAAAAAACCAGTATATGTATGAGAGTAATTAGGCAAAACTTAATAGGTCCCTGGAAGTTAAAAGGGGCAATATAGAAAAATACTTAGAAGTACATTCATACTATGAATAACCAGGAGCCAGGTTATCACAGAAATGCAAAAGCCAAATTTCAGAGCATGTAAGATACAATGCCTTGGCAGAGATGGACTAAGTGCAAGGAGAACAGGAGGGGAGGAAGGACAATCAGGGAGACCACAGGGGCCACAACTAGCTGGCTCTGAAGGAGAAGGTTCCTCAGAGAGGGCATGAGTGGGTCAAAGTGACTTCATAAATGAGGCTTTAATCCTTTAGCCACAGGGAGCCCAGTGGAAGTCACATGCACCCTGAGGTGGAGGGAGGAGTGGAGGCTAGGAACTTCAGCAGAGTCCTGCTCAGAGAGAGCAGCGAGATCCATAGCCAGAAATGGACACAGTTTAAGGGGACATCAGAGGGGGAATCAAAGATGCATCCTGTTGGAAATAGGTATTTGGTATGATTGAACAATGCAGTGTATGTATGTTTGTTTATTTACTTTTGGCAGTACTGGGAATTGAACCCAGAGCCTCATGCAGGTGAATGTTTAAATTAAAAACTATTACAGTAAGACACATTGTCATTAATCTCCTTCAAAATGTTGCCCCTTGCTTTGAACATACCTCATGATTCTTGCCACTTTCTGGTTTTTTGGTTCTGTTTTGTTTATTGAGACAAGGTCTTACCATGTAGCCCAGGCTAGCCTCAAACTCAAAGTGATCTTCTTGTCTCAGCCTTCCAAGGGCTGGGATTACAAGCGTGTACCACCATGTCCGGTTTTCTTGCCACTTTCTAAAAACAGTTCTGGAAGTCCTCTTTCATGAGTGTCTTATGCTGTCCTGAACTGATTCAAAATGTTTACTTTTCATAGTCATTTTACTTTGGGGAAGAGCCAGAAGTCACACAGTGAATAAAGTGGACAAAGACTTGGTAATGTTTTTCTGAACCTGCCTTTCCATTAGATGGCACTCGGTAGCAGCTGTCACCATAGTTTCATAAACATACTGTGAAGGGAGACTTCCAGAACTGCTTCAGAAAGTGGCAAGAAACCGGGCACAGTGGTGCACACCTGTAATCCTAGCCCTTGAGAGGCTGAGGCAGGAGGATCACAGTGAATTTGAGGCCAGCCTGGGCTACTTGGTGAGACTTTGTCTCAAAAAACCAAAACCAAAACCAAAAATCAGAAAGAGGCAAGAATGATGGGATATACCGGGCGTGGTAGTGCGTGCCTGTAATGCCAACACTCGGGAGGCAGAGGCAGACGAATCGCCATGAATTTGAGGCCAGCCTAGGGTACATAGTGGATTTAAGGCCAGCCTGGACTACATATTGAGACCCTGTCTCAAAAAACAAAAAAATTAAATTAAAATAATGATGGGATAAGTGTGCTCAAAGCAAGGGCAAGTATTGTAGTGGGGGGGATAAACTGTGGAAAATACAAGGAGAAATATAAACTATTACAGCTTTGAGAGATATTAAAAGAACTTGGTCACTAATAGAGTTAATCCAAAATGAATAACAGCAACAACAAAAAGCTAGAGTGGAATAATTTAATTTGGAAGGCTGAACAGATAGTGCACACATCTGCCAAAGTGATAGACAAAAAATATCAAAATGATAATTTTGGAAAATCTAAGAAAATAGAGTCCACACCCAAAAACTTTCATGTAAATGCGAAAGAAAAATACCCCAAGATTTCAACTCAAGAGATTAAAAATGTAAATTTAAAAATAACTCTGAGGGGTGGAGATGTACCTCAGCAGCAATGTGCCT